ACGAGCGCCGGAATGTGAATGCCCTAAAGAGCTTGGTGGTCTGCTCTGAACGCTGTCGGCGACTCACGAGCCGGAAGGAACAATAAGGTAATTCCAGTTACTTTGACACTGTATATAGACGAGAATTTTAATGTCAGAGCTTCGTTTGGTAGAGTTTTGCATATGTGTATCACAAATTGTCGGGGCTTTGTGCTGTTGCAAAATGCAAGTCAATGTCTATCTTGTTTGCTAATGTGGTCAAAACAGCACGAAACGAGGACAAATAGATAGTAAGTACTTCGCTATCGTTACAAAAAAAAGTTCTATAATATTCAGAGATCACACACTGTGCAATTCCAACTGTCAAGTGCATCCTATAACACAACATCTTCGTGCATGTCAAAGGTCGCCACCTTGCCATCTCTGCCTCTAAACTTTATCGCGTACGGCAATAGACAGCTGAGATGGAATCACGTAGACAAGTGTGATGAACGAAAGACGCGGGAGAAAGATTGCGACCCGGAACCAAGAAGGCGAGCACCACAGGAGCAAGAAATCTGGCTTGCTGCCATATGTGTCCCTCGCTAGATGCTCTCCCTCCAGCCAACCGCGCTGACCTCGGCGTGTTTTCAAAGAAAGGCAAGATGTAAAGGCACATGAACAAAGCGAAAGAACGCAAGATGTCGGACATCCAATTCCTGAATACGGAGCAGTTTCCATTTTCTTTTACATCCCCAGTCCCATTCCCATCCTCGTTTCCTTCCTCACTTTATGCTTATCATATCCATTTTCTTATTCTTATTTTTTCCTAGTTTCCTTTATCCGTTTTATTCTTATTTACTTTCTTAATTTTAGCCTAGTTCCCATCATTACTCCTTCCTCATTTCAATCCGTGCCCTTCTCTGGATCTTCCATGGTCTTATGGTTCGTAGTCTTTTGTTCCTCACTGGACTCCCAATCGCGTCGTCATCGTCTAAAATACCTTTCTCTCCTCCCATTCTGCAGCCCCATCTCGTACATCAGCGTCTGCCATCATTCCCACGATCATCTCAGAGATTTTAAGCTGTGGATTTCTCGTCAGATCTCAGTTAGGACTGGTGGTAAGCAGTCTTATCTCATCATTGATGACCTCCCTTATCCAAGATATGGCCTTTTTGGTGATTCAACTGATCCAAGAAGAAGAGGAAGCTAATCTTCCTAGTATTTGTGCAATGAGTGTCATCCTTCTGAGAGGATTAGTTGAGGAGAGGAAGTCAGGTATATTGCGGTTCTTTGGGGGGGTTTATAGTCGTCGCTAGAGTGTAAAAACGGGTACCCGTGGGCACCCGTGGGCATCCAAGTTTTTCTTGGGTTATTCGTGGGCTACCCATTTTATCATGTAGGTGGTTTAGGTATACTACGGGTAACTGATCTATTTAGGTCTTTTTTTCCTACCTATACCTACCCAAAGCCCACGGGTAAGCAACCCACACGGGTACCCGTGGACCTTTTACACCCTAGTCGTCGCACCTTTTTAGCTGACCATGTGTCCCTTTTTTTTAAGGTTCCAAACTTCCGAACCGCCGAACAACTCCACGCCGCTTTTGAGATTTCATTGTCTTGGAGGGGATTGAGGAAACTAAGGTTCGGGAGGGACAGATGCTGGGTTACGCCAGATGGAGCGACAAGTTTGGACGCATGATGTCTTGTATCTACACTACACAATTTATTGGTCTTAATACTCTCGTCTCCGCCTCTTAATCTCATGCCATTCTCGGATCGCTCAGAGTCGAGTGGACAAGTTGATTGGTGCCAGTATAGCCGTCTCGGAGACTTTCTACAGTGGGAGGCAAAAAGTATTTGGCCAAATCAGGTACCTGGCTATCGCGTTCTACACTAGAACATACTACAGTATATTAATGTATACATTTTGGTGAGCAAAAACATTCTGTCATAGCCAAAGATGTGAGCCTGCACCGGCTGGTCGAGACGCGTATTCTTCTCCTCGAGACTATGGACCTTCTTCTGGAACTTTGTAATCTCCGCGTCTATTTCTGTCGCTTTTTTGGCCGGCGCCGGTCTCTGATGCTTCGCGCTCGTTGATCTCTAACACAACCTAGTAGTAGCATGTAGAGTAGTAAAACTTTAGTAAAATAATGCACTTGAGGTACGGAGTACAAGACTTACCTCTCTTAGCTTTTACCAAGTATTAGTACTACTAGAGTACTAAAAAGCTAGCGCAGTAATATAACAAACGTGAGAACCTAGGATGTCTTGGCCTCTCGTCGTAAGTATGAGTATGAATACAAGAGTGCTAAAGTAGTATAGTAATGAGCTAGACGTACTAATCTTTTCGGTCGTTGTCAAGCGAGGAGAGGTCAGGAACGCCGACAGACTGAAGTTAGCTGCGCATGAATATAATCTAACACGAAAGAACAGGCCAGCACTGACAAAGTGCCTAGCCCCTTGGCATGTATCGTAAGCTTCTTACAGCTAAAAATCGTAAATATCGCGTACTAAGTTTCGAGACAAGGCGCGAACCTGTCGAAGATGGTTGGTAATTCCAAAGGCAGACTAGAATTAGTCCAACTGCCCCAGCTTGTAACCTCGGAGCGAACTTCAGCAAAAGAGCCGCTAGGTATATTGCGGGATATGAGATAAACGGGCCCTGGTCCGGGGGGAACTGGTAGTCATGTCAGTCGACTTCGTGTTCTGATGATAAAAACAAAGTCTCCCGCGGCATTCATTGACGGAGACAGGCAGCAGAACTGTGGCTGAGATTATTTGACCCGTTTCTGACAGCTTATCTATTTGTAATGTCATCTCCACCAACATTATGCATCAGCCAAATCCCTATACGTGGAACAACACTTCCATGACAGACTGCGAGCTAAAATGACACTGGCTACTCTCCCAGCTTCAGTGACCTAGGGAATAGCTTCGGCTAGTTTACGATTAGCAGCTATGGGTCGCATTGAATGTGGACTTGGTCCTTGATTGATCTATCTATAAGACCACGTTTCAATTGAACAGAACGGTCGCAGTTGGTAGGATTGCTAGCTAGCTTCTACTTTGAACCTGACAAGCTAGTTTTGAGCCTTCCAGATGGAAGTCCCGGCTTGTTCAATCTACTAGTTGGAAGGCCAGATTCATGAATTCATGACTCACCCTTTGAAATCACTGAGAGCCTCATCTACAGGAGCGTGATGAGGGCACAAATCAACGGATTAATGAAGAAAACTACTCTCTAAATGCTTGGTTCTGAGTGTTCGGCAGAGATGGCAGTTTAGAGGCCCCAGTGTAGCTCGCAAGCTCCAGTGCGACACGGTCAATCCGCGTCTTGAAACATGTCTCAAATTTTCCACAAACCTTCAGTAATGTAGTCAAAAGTGTGACAACTCCAACAATGGCCGAGTATCGTGGTAGATGGGCCTGCCGAACTCGGAGCACATACCCAAGAGAAAGGTAATAGTCAATTGTCCGCATGCATTTCGTTACGAGCCTGAACAGAGGTGCCGCGAAAAATATAAGTAGCTACTGCATGTTTTAGCTGGTTCTAGTAAGACACACTTTGGTGCATTTGTCAATTGCTTTGAGGTTATGAATCTGTGTGGTGGGAATCGGCCGAGTTGCCTTGTCAGACAGAGCCTTTATAATCTAAATTAATATTCGTTAGGCATGACAAATCCACACTACGATGGCTTCACAAAGCCGTTTCATCTTCCGTAGTATAGTGGTCAGTATGCAAGCTTGTCACGCTTGAGACCCGGGTTCAATTCCCGGCGGGAGAGCCACGTTGTTGTTTCTTTTTTGGACCCCCACGAAAACTGGGGGCCTCTGTCTATTTTTTGCACCACGTTGTTCCAGTTGGCTCTGCAGCGTCACTTTCGGCCGAGACAGGGTCACGCACTTCCACACAATGCGTCAGACATGTCTGCGATTCTGAGTAATATCTATCACAAGTCTCCCTCCACGTTCCAAAGTTCTTTTTATGCCTGATGCCACGAGTCCGCGCTGCACTTCATTGTAGTAAATGACCTGATGCCTGGCTTTTGTAATTTCTTTTTCTCTCCGCGGCGTGAATTCAGCCCTCGTATTTGTAGCCACAACCATCACTGATATTATATAATAGTTTGCAGCATTGTGCAGCGAGGCGTGCATTGCTTCTGATCCGATGGTCATCCGTGGGCTCCATTGTGGTCATCTGAATATCAATCCTTCCGCAGGGAAGCCATCGTGTGCCGGCTGTTCTTCCTCTCCCTGTCTATCTGCAGGTCGTGAGGCAACGGCCAAGTGTCCAAAAGGCCTTGACTATGCCCAGTATCAATTACAGCTTCCACTACGCCAATCCGATGCATACTTCAAAGAATCTGGCTCCAATATAAAAGTGCGAAGCGGTCGCGCTCATGTCCTGCTTCGTGACAGGCCGCTACAAGACCCGCGTCTCTAGACCCAAATTTGCGGACAGTGCATTCCTTGAGGGCCACGTACAATCCATTTTGTTCAGTTGTTCTGGCACCTTGAAAAGAAAAAGCCAAGAGACGGCACTTTTGAATCCTACTGAGCCAAAGGGCAACACCTCGCCTGGGCAGTATCAAATATCAGCGCTAGTCTCATAAAGACTTCGTCTGCACTGGCGTAGCCGCATCTTCTCATCATTTACTCACTTTGAATAGAAAGGTCGCTCCAAGGCTCACTAAGCTGTCATAATGCGTCAGCCAACAGATGTCTCTCGCTATCCACTGCTTGTTACTCATTATCCAAAGTCCTGCTCACTCACTTCCACTCGAACTTGAAATCCGAACCGAAATAATCTCTCGCTTGGCAAACATTCATGTTTTACAGTCAAAATACGTATCTGGATCAATTTACTTCACTAACGCATTCGAGGCAAATCTGAGCAGGACAGTCATCGCATTCCCGCTGGGATAGAATGCACCGCATCTGACACGAGACTTGTCAGTATACGTTTGATAACCTAGCTCGCGAGTGCGCGAGTGTGCTTGGCTGACATTGCGTCACAAATCGCAGAACCCATTACCATGACAGGAGCCAACGACACTGATACGCCAGGCCCCTGGTTTGATGGGGTGAAGCATCTGTCTCAAAAAGAGCCTGATATTGTTAATGTCAACGCCGCCAAGAGAAAAACGATTGCCATTGCTGGAACTAGCATGTCCGGCCTGATGATCTACCTGGTCTTACACCAGGCAGGCTTTATAAACATCACCATGTCCGAGGCGAGCAACTGTATCGGTGCCGGGTTCGTACCGCCTACTTATCTGGCGGGCCGCTCGCTTATTTTTACCAGCAGACTATGTTGACCCTGACAGCGGCAAAAGGTACAACGGTTCCGACACGGGACTAGTGTTTTTCCTCATTGGCTAAATGAGCAAGACAAGCCATAACAACTCCAAGGTCCGGATCGATACGATTCCTTGGCATGACAAAAACGTCAACGGGTTATAGTACTTTCTCGTTTACCCACTGGTCCCCCGCCGACGTTGCGACAAATTCAGGAAAGGTCATCACTTTCTGCGCCCTTCATACTGGACCCTGAAACAGAAGCTGCACGCAAAAGCCGCAGAAGAATCTACCCAGCAATGAATTCAACACTGAAATGGCCAAAGACATGTACAAAGCGCACAGGGAATGGATTGAGGCCTCAACGGGCAGCACGGAGACCACTGGTCCGAGTTTGCCTACATATCACACTATCTAAGGGGAGTCTTAACAGCAGCGACATCCTGGGTGACCAGCAAGAACTGCAGGCCCGCTTCTGGAAATACCAGACGTGTACAATATTTTATACGACAGCGCGGACGCTTGGAAAACCGTCGACGGCGGCCTCAGCCGACTCCCTCAGTCCTTCCAGCCGCTGGTAGGCAAGAACCTACGCTTCAACACCAAGATCGAGTGCGTGTAGTACAGCAGCGGCAAAGTTACCTTTCAATGGAGAAAAGACTTCAAAAAGCCCAACTCCCAGTCGTCGACATTCGACTACATAGAGGCGGTGGGGGTTTTCGGTTTACCGTCGTCCGGCAGTGGCGCCTCCCCCTAATCAACGTCACCATGCTTGACGCTATCAAGAATCTCGTCTACGACACCAGCTGCAAGGCGGTGCTCGAGTTCCAGGAGCGCTTCTGGGAGAAGCTCGACAACCCCGTCTAGGGCAGCTGCAGCACCGCGACGGATATTCCCGACATCTTCTGCGTCTGCTACCTGTCGTACACCATCAACTGGACCGGCCCGGCGGCCATCCTGGACAGTTACCTGGCCGGGTCTGTCGGCCACGAGATATACAGGCTGACGACCATGTCGGAGGAGGAGCACGTCCGGTACGTGCCGGATGCCGTGTCCGAGATCCACGGCGAGCACACCCGGGCGCTCTACACGGGCAAGTCTGGTATTTCAAGAAATGCTGGGGTCAAGACTTACCGCCGGGGCTGGGCGAACCCGTCTGTCGGGCAGCACGGGCTGTATATTCCGGAATATTTTAGGGTGCACAAGAACGCGAGTGAGCTGGTATCGGGTGTGGAGTCGTTTCTTTTACACTGACAGGGCCTCTTTATAGATGATCTTTATTGGCGAGCATACGTCTTACACGCCTGGTTCAATATCCTCTGCGTTGGATTCGAGAGTCAGGGGCGCGCGTGCAAATGTTTCTAGGTGAGCCAAAGGCCTTTAAATCAGGATATCAAGGCGCCTGATTCTCGACATCTTGTTAGAACTTGGGCCCCAGGATGAAGCAAAGGTCGCTGCCAAGAAGTGGCTGAGCAGGTGAATGCGACATGAAGTTGTCGGCCGAATGATGAAAGAATATGGTTTTCTGCGGATGGAAGGACGCTAATCATTCCGTTCCGCCGTCCATGTATTTTTTACAGGGCTTGTTTTGCTCGTCTTGGACAAAATCTTGCACGTCTTCGGTATATTTTCTATGGTCCAAACTTTCGCCATCCTACCTTTTCTGAATCATTGCGCGGAACGCCGTGTCTGTCTTGGCAAGCCAGACTTTGGAGCAGTAGCGTTTCTACTAGTCCTCGCAGTCTTGGTAAGAACATGGCAACGTGTATTAGTAGGCCATTGCGACAGAGGAAAACGGTGTCTCAGGTCTTTCTGTTGTGCCTTGGGCCCATCACATCTGCGGCTGCGAGGCAATTTCAAGGCGTGGTATGTGAGGGAAGAATGGTTTACTCACTGCATCTGTCCGTAGACCAGTATTAATAGAGGGCTGTTATCTTGCTTCTAATTTGTCCAGTTTGTCAAATTTGGTTTCTCGTCGAGCCGCTTTCAATAGCGACAGTCTGGATGTCGATGCCTCATATCCTGGGGCATGCCATTTCCGCTTGAAGAATATCCATTGTGAAGCAAAGGAGCAGTTATATTTATTAGATGCTAGTTCGCCAAACCAAGTCCTAGCTGGGTCCGTGATGTATCCTGGCAATGAATGCTCCTTGAACGTGGTTGTATGCGGGACACTCTGTGCAAGTCGCATCACACAAGCACATTCATATACAAGGAGTGCATGCTGGACAGTATAATACAGGCGTCTCTTTGAGGCAGCACGGATTCGGTATGGACAATGAATATCCACATGATCAAGGGACTTGACCAGTCCTTTGTGCTTCCAATGGTTTCTTTGTTGCCTGATGCAGATTTATGAGGACACCACCTCCATCGTGCAGCCTACAAAGGTTTTCAGAGCCTTTGTGCACATCAAAGGAAAAGTTCAGCTTCATACATTCAAGTCACGGGCTCAACTAGACTTGAAAGATGACTGTAGTACAGTCTCAAATTTTCCAACAAGGAATAGATGCTGGGTCATCGGGGCAGATTTTCATAGCCATTCAACCTACACGGCTTTGCGGGCCTGCCAGATTCTATTTATTCATTCTACTTGGTGTGTTCAGCTTCTGTGTCCGTGGGGATTGTGTGATGCAGCTTCTATTAGACTGCAACAACACCAGAAACCCTTCCCGTAAACGGCGCGACGCAACGTCTGGTATCCACGAGTTGACCAACATTGACAAGCTTGTGCGCTGGGCTGCGGCGCCCTCTTCGGGGTCAGCAGATATTTTTCTACCAGGAGAAGCTTCTAATGACACCTCGGTGCTCAACTCATCCGACGGCAGACACAGAGGATGCCTGTGTCTAGGACAGCAACATAAAGAAGCGCGGGTTCATGAGAAAGAAGAGAGGAAAGCAGGGGCCATGCTCCAAGTCGATACGCTCTTTCATCATGGCTAGACGTGTGCGAACCCAGAAACTCTCAGTACTTGTAATGCTCGGCTTCGGAAAACAAACATGATATCCTACAGACCGAGTGGAAAGGGTACAGGACTACAAGAAGCACCAAAGTTGAACACGGCTCCCTTATGATATATCAGTTTACTCCTCCCCGCTTTAAGAAGCCTGCATCACAAACCACACTTGCACAAAGGGCCTAGCCTTGCATTCGTATTGTCAATATGGATGTTCATGCCCCGTATACCGAGCAGAACATGTGTGCGAATTGAGTCCCCAGAGATGTTCACTCTGTCCTTTGAAGAAGTCGGACGACAAGGTAATAGTAATCAGGCGCTGTTCCCGCATCTGACAACTGCTATTCACCCTGCGGTTTGTCGAACCATGGTCTTTTCAGAGAAGCCATGTGACGATCAACAACTGCTCTGCGTACATGACGAATCTTGCTCCGTCTTGTCACAGCTGCAAAATCGCGCAGCCTGCCAACAGCACGACAAAGACCCAACAGCCGCACAAGGGGGCCAGCAACAGCCGGCAGGTGCATCAACATGGCTGAACATGGCAAGGAGACAGATGTCTTTTGTATCGCAAGCAGTTCTCCGGGAGCCTGTAGGCGCTGTAGTCGAGATGAACACGGCCACACATGTCTTGAACACTCGTCGTACAGCGCCGTTTCAATGAGACGAACTCGACAGGCTGAGCACGACTGTACCGACCCGAGATTCCCTTGGAGGCATTAAATACTGCGACGCTCGCCGCTCCGTCGTGGTTCCTGGCATGCTCCCCAACGACAGTCAACCACTTCGCTTTCTCAGATATAAGAACAGCCCCGATTCTCAAAACTTGCAATGGCCCCAAGCGCACATCAAGACCCTCGCCCAAACTCTCCCCGACGCGCTCGCCGAGACGTTCGCCAACGCGCTCGCCGAAACCCGAGCCAAAACTCTGGTCAAACCCCTTCCGAAGACGCGGCGCTCGACCGAGAGCCCGGCCGCTCCTCTCGGCGGTACTTATCCCAGAACCCAGGCGACTCGGAAGATGACCACGTATACGACGCAAACGACTCCGCAGGTGACTACGTAGACCCGGACGACACAGACGACGGCATAGACGTGGACCAAGGCTTTGACATCGTGGGAGGACCGTACCAACGACCGGCCCAAAGATCGCGCCGGCCGCGGCAAGCCCCCGGCCAGGCCCAAGGCCAAAACCATGGCCGAAACTCATCGAGACAAGCAACCTCCCCGACCCACCAAATCGTCAACAACTACAATATCAATGCCTGCCCTGGTGCAAACTCGAGCTGCTGCGCGGATTGCTGCCCCATCTGCCGTGGTATAAGCATCCATGTCGTCAATGGGAACATCCCCGCTAGCTGGCCCAGGGGATCCTCGTACCGGACGTGGTCTTTTTCCACCCAGCGTTATCCACGACGGTCCAGCACTTGCACCCGCACATACTGCTGCTACTCGTGCTGCTACTCCTGCTGCTGAAGAACTGCGCCAAAGACGTCAGAGGGCCGTGCGTGGCCATACGTTCTGCAGCTGGGACTGCAAAACGGATCTTGGAGTCAACCATGGCCGTGCTCACCGGCCGGCAAACAGAGGTGTACTAGCCGTCAAATCCGTGCAAAGTCGGGAACTTTGCAGTCTGGTAGCTTCTGAATAGAACCCTTTAAATCCCCAGCTGGCTCCTCGCGAACAATAAATGCTCTTCCTCACGCCGGCGTGGCAAACACGGCTGGCCTAGGTGAATGTGACATGAAAGAAAACACTGCCCAATATGGTGCCCCTACGCACTCCATCCATCCGTCTGCCCATCTAGGTTTCCGAAATGTAAAGCTCCCTTGTACTTTACGGTCATGTATAATGTGCTGCCTCGGAGTGATGTGCAGGTACGGACTGTGCCTTGACGCAGAAATGCGCCTGTTGGTCACGCCAAGTACACCGTGTACCCGGCGTCCGAGTATTTATACCTGTCGATACAACCGTTACTGACAAAAACCAGTCTGAATTTCTGGAAAAAAAAAAGGGGGGGGGATAATAGTAATAAAGAAGAAAAGTAGAAGAAAAGCGGCGGCCAGGGCTATGCCTGTGCGTCGAGGTATTGCCTGCTCGTTGCCATCGAGACTGTGAGTCAGTGGCCAAGGGTATTTCACGAAACGTCAAGCATCAGCAGTGCGTAAGTTATGCCAGCAGCTCTTGGTACTGGGAGCTAGACGATGGCATGCATTCAGGAAGGGTGCATATTCCTGGACTCCAGAGGTTGCAGATGGAGTCGTCATGCGGGGGGAAACTTGACGAATCTGACATAGAGGCAGCACACAAGTTAATGAGAGCGCGAGGGTGTTGCACAGAGGTCTGGTAGCTATAACTAGTCATACTCACGGTTACTGTATGCCCGCCATGACATATTCTTGGCACCTTCAGGGGCCAAGCGCATACTACTCACTCGGTTCGCAGAGAAAAACCATTTCGGGACAGGCAACGAGTCAAAAATACACGTCGCATACATCTCGACTTGGAAAAGCTTTGTATTTTACAACGCGACCGCGCAAGATCTAGTCTTCCATCTTGTCAGGCGCTTCTCATCTCTCTAGCAAGAAAAACTGCCGCGCAGTTCATAGGGTTTCTCATACATTAATCAAGATTGACTTCCGGCACCGTAAACAGATTGGTCGTAAAGGTCCCATGACGCCTTTTTCGTCTTCCATGACTTGCGTTCCTAGTTTCAAACCAACGCCATGAACCACGCCGGCAAAATGTGCGGTGCCGCCTGCGCAAACGACCGCTTTCCAGTGCTTCTTTTAGCCTGCCAGCCAGGGACGGGGTTGTTGTTGCCGCAGTGAGACTGGATGAGGGTTAATATTCTTTTGACGATGAACTGGCTTGCCCCAGCGTACATCCGAGTCGGCTTGCCCATGACCTTTAATGATTGCGCCTTCGTGATTCGTAGCCTATGCCACCAAAGATAGCCTTATTTCAGCATCATTTCAACTCTCCCAAAAGCATGGTCCTATCCGACGAGGCGGAGAGCACTACCAATAGTTAGCAAGCGCGTCAACACAGTGGCCTTTCTACAACTTACATATCGGCTCCTTGCCCGGCGTAAACTCGGCAGAGTTGACGGTCCCCTTGTGCCCAGGCAGCTTGTACAACAACTTGCCATTCTGACTGGACCACACCACCACAGTTCCATCTGCCGACGCCGCGGCAATCTTCTTACCGTCCGCGTCCCAGCTCACACCCATCAGGTTTTTCTCTACGCCGGCATTCGCGCCGTCGAATGTGCGGATATGTCTCTCCGTGGGTGCAAACGGACGAATATCCCACGTCCTGACCGTCGAGTCCATGGCGTACGAGACCAGTGATTGCGAATCGGGCGACACTTTGAGCGACATGATGGAGTCCGAGTGTCCCAGCATAGAATACACAACCGACTTCTTGCGCAGATCCCACACGCGAATGTCGTTGTCAATGCCGCCTGCAAAGATCTCATTTCCAGCAGAAGACATGGCCACTGCCGTGACGGGGAAGTCGGTCTGGATATAGTCGACGGCGTGTTTACTGCGCGGGTCCCAAATGCCAATGGTGGAATCGTCGCTGCCGCTGATGATGAGGTCCTCGCCGCGCCGGGTAATATCTACAGCGTTGACGATTTCCTCGTGCCCGACGTATCTGCGTATCCTCGTGCCGGATGTGAGGTCCCAGCTGGCAAGGTGCATGTCCGCCGACGCAGTGTACAATATTTCCGAGTCCCGCGACCACTGGAGGTCGAGAATAGCGCCCTTGTGACCGTTTAATAAACCGTAATTCTCGCAGTCGCCGTACGTCCTCCAGAGCACTAAGCCATCCTGTTAGCATATTCTCGGGCTACAGACGGTGCCGTCCCGTCAAATCACATACTTATACTTCTGTCCATGGATCCCGATGCGATCAAATTGCCCGTCGGATCAAACTTGGCTGTGAAGACCTCCCCCGTGTGCCCCGACAGCTCCATCACCGGAGCTTGCAGTGCGCTCGTTCGTGCATTCTAAAGATACATTAGCCGAATCGACGTCTATTCGGGTGGATTTTTACAAACCGCTTGAACCAATGCATTGCTGGACGCACTCAGGCGCGCCAGAGCGCCCTCTGACGTGCTAACATTCTGCCTCTTAACAAGCATTTGTGACGAGCTGGGGTCGTCCTCTGCGGGACGTTTTTCGGCAGACATTTTAATGGAACTGGGAGGAGAAGAAGCTGATACCGGGATATTCGACTGTCTAATATCTCGACGTATTACAAGTCGGTGCGCCTGTACGCTGCTAAAAATCGAATTGTCGCGTCACTATGTGTTGCGGCCGTGGTGATCGCTCCTAGGGAACTTTTTCCTTGTCGAAAAACTGGGGTTGAGCTCCAACTCCGACTGCGGGTCTGCAATTGGCGGTCGGGCCGGTCATTGTTCCCTCTAGTGCTGTGAGTCTGTGACCACCTCGTCCCCGCCACTGACTTCGAGCACAGCGGATAGTTGTACTTGCGACGAAGCTCTTCTAATTTGTGATTTGCGACAGTCTACCCTTTGCAAAGCTTTACTGGGCACTGGGTTTTCTTACCAATCTGTCATTGTTACTGCACTGCAAGCAGTCGAGCAACCTCCTACACTACCCATCGCCCCGCCTCCATTATGGCGGCGAGCAAAGCCTCCCGCATAGGCGAAGAGTACGTCCAGTCACCACCTTTGCCAAAACAAGAACAAGTGCCCAACTAACATTTCCAGAATATGGAAGTGAGCGCCTCTGTCTCCCCCTCTTGCCCACCGGTCATCTAACAGCCCAGGACACGCATCGACAAAGTCAACGCCGAACTCGTAACCCTCACGTACGGCACAGTGGTAGCCCAGCTCTGCAAGGACTTTGACAATGACTACGCCGAAGTAAATAAGCAACTGGACAAAATGGGTTACAACATTGGTCTACGCCTAATAGAAGACTACCTCGCCAAGTCGAACACCATGAAGCGTTGTGCAAACTTTAGGGAAACAGCCGACATGATTGCAAGAGTATGTCTCTCTGCCGCGTCCCTCCTCCAGTTCACACTGACGAAAATCAGGTCGGCTTCAAAATTTTCCTCAACATCACGCCCCAAATAACCAACTGGACCTCTGACAATAACCAATTCTCGTTGTTATTCGATGAGAATCCCTTTGCTGACTTCGTCGAGCTTCCGGATGACGGACGAGCCCAGGACGAACTATGGTACTCGAATATTCTGTGTGGCGTGCTGAGAGGTGCTTTGGAAATGGTACAGATGCAGGTGGAAGCGCATTTTATCAGCGATGTGTTGCGGGGCAATGATACTACTGAAATGAGGGTTTCGTTGGTACGCTATATTGATGACGAGCTGCCGCCTGAGGATGATTGATTCGCTCTGAGAAGAGAATTCTCTTTTAATGCTAGCTTGGTGGGTTCATCATGGAGTGTGGCGTTTAGGTGTCGTTTATCTAGGTTTGCTGAGTTGGACTCGCATATCAGTCTATGTCAATATGATGGTCATACATCAAATGTTCCAAGGTGAAACCAAAGTCTCCTCTAGACGTGCCAAAAGTCCTCGGAACATTCATCTCAAGTCGGCAACAAAGTATGCGTCGAAGCATCGTTATCACTGTGGTTGATCGGCATACAGGACGTGGTATGATATATTCGAAGACCGCTTTCGACGTAGACCAAACATAAACAATCGGGAGAAGGTAACGACAACTCCTCGATTTCCTTGCACCTGCCTGAAACCCAGCCATTCCCCGTAGCAAGTTAAAGTGACACGTGAAAATAAATAAAAGCACTCTTAAAGAGCCAAACCACACACAAAAGGGGGGGACGGAGGGCAAATAACACAAGAATCAAAGGAACACAGAGAGATGGCACTCAACAAACAACGGCTCTTTTTTCCCATCTGTAATCCGTAACCTCTCTCTCCCGAGAGCCTGGATCGCCGCATAAAAACAAAAAAAGGAAAAACCATGATATAGTAAAAGCCCCCTGAAACGCCGTGTCGAATAATGCCAGATTAGAGTTGAGCCACATGACACACAGAGTTAATAGAAGAAACACTGGTCAGAGCCATAAAAAATTCACAAACTTGTCTTCGTCTTTATCTTTTCATCCTTGCATATATGCATGTTTGGTTGCGTTCCCGTATCGCTGAGCTTTAGTCGGCACCAATCGGGTCGCCTCCTTCCATGCTGGAAAAGCCGTTGAAGTCAAATGGCTCAGTGTTGTCTTCATGAAGGAACGAGTCGAAGTCGAAGTCGTTCAGGACATCGCCGGATTGCAGGGGGTTGGCAAGCTCCATAGATCCAAACTCCATCTAAGGAGGCAATTAGTGGGACGCCAGATGTAGGCAATACTCCTTGGTAAACTTACAATACTGCCGAAATTGTCCATCATTCCGTTTTGACTTGGATCGCCATGGGTCTGAGGCGGAACAGGTGCTGCTTGAGGAGCCGGTGCAGCAGCTGGAGCAGTGGAAGCAGTGGCGGCCGTGGTGGCCTGCCCATTGGCGCCAGCAGCTCCGTTCGGCGCATTCTTGTTGAATCCCGGGTTGGTCGAAGTGATAGGCGTCGCTGGTGTAGCCTCTGTCTCGCCCGAGTTCTCACCTGCTGTAGCAGCACCCGCAGCGTTGGCGTTTTGACTGGCCTTCTTTGCGGCAGCGGCACGCTGTATTTATGTTAGTTCCGGAGCAAACAAACACAATGAGAAATCTATTGAGTGAGGGACGAGGTATATTATTACCTTTTCCTTAGCAGCCTTCGTCTCCTTCTTCTTGGGCGCAGGCTTGTTTCCTTGACTTGGCGTCGGAGGGGCGGCCGCAGCTTGCTGGGGTGATGCAGTCGTTCGGCTATTTGCATTCGCAGTGGCGGCAGGAGCTGAAGGCGGGCCCATCGATCTTGATTGCGGCGTTCCTTGCACCTGCTGGTTCTGTTGCATCTGCGGTGTTTGGCCATTAGGACCCTGTTGCCATTGTCCCGGTGCGCCCTGGCCAGCTTGCTGTCCCTGTTGCCCTTGTGCCTGTTGCATTTGGCGGGCGGCCATCATCTGCTGCGGATTCATCTGGCCATTGAATGGCTGTCCCGGGTGTGAGCTTGGCGGCCTCATACCGTTCATCTGGGCCTGGGTCATGTCGGTGCCGGGTTTGAAGAAGTGAGGTGCCATGTTGGGGTCAACTTGGTTACCCATGAAGTTCATGGCAGGGTTAGGAGAGTCGCGCGATTGGCCACCTTCAGGAACCGGTGATGGTATGCCCGAATTGTTCATCTGGGGGGTGCCACGCTTCATCTGGTCGGCAGGGTTTGGTGACGCTCCAGATCGCATCGCTTGCGGAGAAGCCTCGGGGAAAGATTGGCCGTTGGGTCCCTGACCTGGCTGGCCTGGAGCACCGGGAGGAGCTCCGTCTCTTGCGGGCATACCAGTAATGGTATCCTGTTCCTGCCGGGCCATCATTAGACGCTTCTTGTTTTGCTGCTCCAGTAACATCAACTGCATCTGATAGTCCTGCAGTGCGTGATTGCTCCCAGCAGCGGCTTGGGCACCGCCAGGGCCCGGCCGAATCCCCCCTGGGCCCCCCATTTCACCGGTAGGATTGTAAAAGGCATTGAGGGCAGTTCCATCTGGTCCTGGTCCCATCATGGGCGAGCCCTGGTTCTGAGGCCCCCCAGCGTTTGGCATCTGTTGCTTGTTGCCCATCTGGGAGCCGTGGTGCTGTTGCAGGTTCTGAGAGTACGTCGCAATCGATTTCTGTTGGGCGGCTGGCGGGGCGTTGACAAAGTTCTGGAACTGTTGCGGATTTAAACTACTTGGGTTGATACCATTGGCAGTCAACATCTGGTGAGCAGCGGCGACATTTGGGTTGTTCGGCATCTGCTGTCCGGGCATGCCTTGAGCGGGTCGGCCATTTGCCACCATTCCTGGCTGGTTAGGGTTAAAGGGTGCTCCTCCATCGATGCGTTGTCGCTTGGAAGGTGATGGCGCATTCTCTCCGGACGCGGGTGACGACGGGCGATCGCGGTTTTGATCCATGCCAGACGGATCACGCTGCATCTGATTTTGCTTGGTTGGTTGCATCATCATCTGAGGACTAGAACGAGACACGGCAATTAGCAACGATGTGTCATTTTACACAGTTATGGTTTACATGAGAGCGTACTTATTCTGGTTATTAGCCATGGCAGCACGGGCAAGGTTGCCCTGCTTCATGCCCATATTCATGTTGCCATTCTGCATTCTCATCATCTGGGCTTGATATTGTTGTTGCGCAAGGTCACTGGGGCGCATCTGACGCAGAAGCTCTTGTTGCTGGTTTTGTTTCAATCGAGACTGTTGCTGTAGAGGAACTTGCTATTAGCCGATGCGGGACAAGACACATTGATTTCAAGGTAGTACAGGCGTGGCAAGACGTGAAAAACAGCAGCTAAAATCCAAACGTACCTGAGTGTGAGCGACATATTGGTTAACAGTGCCATTACCACCTTTGACACGCTGAGCATTGTAAATATCCCAAAAGAGACAAAACCACTCGTACAGAAACGAAGAGTCGGACGCGGGCATGGGGAGCTTGGGAGGCGGTAGGCCATCGGGCAGCTTATCCAAATCATCCTTGGAGTCTGTGTCCATGGGATCTTCGCCGTTGGCCGTGTTGCCACTCTTTCCGTCCTTGTGGACGTTTACCTGCTGATTGCTCGACAACAGCGAGCGAGCACAGTCGAACATTTCATAGCGGAGGAAGTACTCGTAAATATAGGTGTTGAGAACGCCGCGCTGGCTGTCAAGCTGTGACTGTCTCGCGGCGGCGGCGGCGGCAGCAGCCTGCTGAGGATTCATGGCAACACCATTGTTCATCATGGGCATTGGCGCACCGCCCATAGCACCGCCCATCGGGTTCATGTTGGCCATGCCCATATTCGGGTTCATGGCCATGATGACGGCGGGTATATGAGTAGCTGCGACGCGGGCGAGCCAGTGGAGGGAGAACTGTAAGGTGAGGAAATCACGGTGACAACGGACGCCCGGCGAGGACTGAGGTCAAGAGAAAAGAGACGATCTGCCTCAAAGACCCCACGAATCCGATGCCAGGCCCTGGGCAGCGGAGCAAAAGACAACGACGGCACAGAGCAAAGCAGCCTAAGCAGCTCAAGCCGGTGTGGCCGTTTGGCGTGGCGCGGGTGAGGGGGGCGAGAGTCAGTCAGTCGACACCAGTCGCGGCAGACGGCGGACGGCGGACGGCAGGGCAGGGGCGTTAAATACTCGGTCGCGGCGGTCGAAGCAAATCGGAGGGCGGAACAGCAGAGGTAATGCGCAAAGCTGTAGGCGACGGAAAGGATAAATTCGCGGTGAGGAGCGATGTGCGCGATGGGGAAAAAGCAAGGAATGAAGGCAACAGAAAAAAAAAGAATGAAATGATGATGGGGGAAGAGATGGTGTGAAGGCGGACGGAGAGTTTCGCCTTTGCCTGGGCTGGGCTGGGCTGGGCTGGACTGGGGGCTGGGCGAGAGAGAGAGCAAGCGAGCCTGGCCTGAGTTGACAGTCAACTTAGTCACTCACCCAAGGCCGGGCATGGAACGACCAGAACTGCAACTGACGACAAATTTTCCTCAAGTCGAAGCCAATGTGCGAGGCTGTCCTTTTTTGCAAATGTACAGCTCCGCAGCCTCGGTCGTGGCCGCAATGCCGCTGTGTCAGCTAGAGCGTCTCCCGTCCGCACTTGAGGTAGCCCGTGGAGACAATTATCGCGATGGAGATGGAACCAGACGTCAAGAAACGTCTATTCTGGGGGACAAGAGGCTGAAGTGCATGTCATGTCGCCTAGCTGTCCTGGCCGGATGCGAGACACCCAGCCAGAGTCCCGAGCCCGGAAACTGGCACCAGGTCCCTGGATGCAGATACAGTGTGCGTGGCACATAAGAGATTTACGCGCACGGAGACGCTCTGCACGGTGCAGGCACTAATTGTAGAGTTGCACGGAGACAGTGCATGATACCGTGCTGATGAATTAGTCCTGCCGGCGTGGGCTGAGAAATATGCCAGCATACAGTGCCATTGTCAATCCAATGCCGACGAAAGCACTGTCCAGAAAAAAAAAGAACAGAAAGAACAAAACCCCTGTTCTCCAAAACCACAGGCCTCACAGCGCCGTCCCAGCGCTCTCACCAAAGACGTATTCCTCAGACCACCCGCGTATTTCTCGGCCCGTCCACGTCGGTACTGCTGCCTCAGGCAGAACGGGGCACACCCAACTTCACCTTGCGGCACCATCACGGTGCAAAATCATCCAATAGCAGCACAAGCCCGGCCACAATGCAATTTACTCTGAGCAATCCATTACCTCAGACCAATCAACGTGTCGCGTCGTGAGGCACTTGAGGTCAATCCATGGTCCATCTCATGACCTTGACGAAGTTGGTTGAAGCATGAATGTGGTAGCAGCAAACACTCTTGACTGGGCACGCCGAGTTTGATCGAACCACTTGCTGTTGCAAAATTCTGCTGCCTGATCATTTTCCTTTTGTTCCAATAATTGGCAATTTATATGCACACGGGGCGTTTTTTTTTTTTTTTTTTTTTTTTTGGCCGTTTTTCTATCCATATTTTGCATTTCTTTTTGCCATTGTAGCCGAATACTGGCCTGTCGCGACGGGAAAAGGAAGAAAACCTGCAACGCGCGCAAATATCAGTACAGGACAAAATCCATAAATCTGTACGGAGTAGAGCCCTCAAGGTCACGCATGAATCCACACGTGTTCGTGCTGCACTGTGAATATTTTCTCCCCCATGTCCAGTCATGGTGTGACCTGCTGCACTCGACTCTCGTGTCACTCAAGCCTAGTCCACACATCTTGCACCAGACCATTTATACCAACGCCGTTGCCAAATGACGACCACGAGCGCAAACCGCCGAATGCAAAGCAAAACCAAAGGCAATGGAATATGAACAGCATATTCCGCAATTGTCAAACCTTGATGCGCTGCGAGTTCTCCTCCGGTCGGAACCGATCGTAGCTCTGGGAAGCCCTGAACTCATTACCCTAGACAATCCCCTAATTAACTAAGATGGACGTGACAGAAAAGCAGCATCACATAGCAGTTATCCCCTCGATGAAGTTTCTTTTCTGAATGCGATAGTGAGTTGGATAGCAGAAGAAGTCATCGAGCGGCTTTTCCCCCCATTCCCCTCACGGACGCGCCGCGGCGTCGCAATGCACAGTCCAGGGTAGTTAAAGTCAATAGTATACTACAGTATATCACAATATGGAGCGCGACAGCCAGGTACTTTAAATGTCCACTGGTTGAATCCCTTCAATGTTTTGCCTCCCACTGTAAGTCTGGCGTCCTGGTCGTAGCATCGGATTATATTCAGAAGATGCCGGCAACCCTCGTCACCAAGGCAGCAGCATCCCGACATTCCACAAAGATACATACTTACTTTGAAGTCCAAGCTAACGATAGTAACTTAATGTCTTCCATACTAATAGTAGCTTAAATTTTAAACATATATTGTCTAAAATTATATACAACGCGAAATAGTGACCAAAGTTCGGGCTAAAAAACAGAAAATCGCTCAATGCTGGAGCCAATCGTGGCGCCAATCACCTCAGGAACCGAGACCTAAAGTCTTCGGTTCTCATCGTACGCTGCTTGAGACATCTTTGTAGTTGGCTAACAACCTGTAGACAAAGCGCTCGAATGTTCATACTATTGTGGATGCCATTTCGTGGTCTCTTTCAAGAGGATATCCTCCAGGGCTATTTCCAGACGCCAAGGCTGGTGACTTGATCTTGGTCAAACCTCTTCAATCGTAAGTCCACGCCACGAAGACCATGGCCAACCACCCGTCTCGCCGGTATTTAGAAGTCGCTGTTTTCCCAGGCAGTCTTGTCTCCAGAAGGGACAATCTTGCTGGGGGGCTGGCAGCAACTCAAGACGATGTAGCTTGAATTACATTAGATGCAGTCGCCAATTCTTATTCACCCTTATTGAGGCCCTATGAGCACAGTAGGTTGAACCATGACTGCTTCAGCCTAATCGGAGATTTTCTCGTGAATCACCTTGGCATGCTCTCTCCAGTAGCAGCATTCCATGTTCTGCACATTCATGGTCCTCAATAAGCTGTATTGATTGCGACAAAGAGCCTGTGGGACGGGCCTCTGGGCGACTTCAGGATGGACACAAATAAGTTGAATGAGACCATGTATACTGAAGGGCTTGTAGCGGCCAGAGCAGTAAGATTCATTCGATCCACGGATAGGCTCAACATCTCTTTGGGCATCATCGGAAGTATTATAGAGCATGTTGGAGTAGCTTAAGGCGATGTGCAAATGTATTGTGGAAATTGCATAATGAGTGCAACGTCGATTTCGACTGAATCGGGTCGTCTGGGTGCGGATCGTGCGAAAATTGTTAAAAAAGCGCTCGTGATAGAACAATACATTTGTCAGGCTTTCATCGCGATATTATACTTGCCAATTGAGTGTGTTTTCTCGATGACATGGGTCCAGTCTGCTTGTCGCTCTATTGATTGTTTCCAACCACGTCTGCTTGCATGCATTCAGGAGAGTACACAAGTCGGCCCACGGATCAATTTCGATTTGACCATACAAGCGGCTTTTCTATTTTTTTTTCTTGTCATCTTATAAGTACTAGAGACTTTTTGAGTACGGGGTCTGTTTGTACGATAGGCAACTGTCGGCTGGGGTTGACGGCCAAGCATCACCATTATCAGATGCGGACCTTGGAATAGGCGGCGTGCGGTTTAGCGACAGACAACATATGGCCAAAGCAGCGTCCTGTTCGCGACGGCTTTTTCGCAAAGTCCGTAACTGGGACGAGGCTCATGGCCGGAGTCGACGGATCCGTTTCCAGAAATCGGACAAGCTTTCTCTTCATTCGGCCTTCGGATGTTTGAGACAGCAGAAAAGACGTATAAGTTGTCTCATCCCTCTCGATACCAAGATTTGATGGGGTTGCTTTGATAGACCCCTCGAGGGTCTCATGGTGGTTGCCCAAATCTATGATTTCGTCAGCGCCCTTATCATCAATATTCAGGGACGACGAGGTCATGAACAATTAGTGGCTAATGACCTCCCTCCCATCTGAGGCTGGACTCTCGTTGGCTTGAGTAGCCGGGGTGCTGGAATAATCAACTGAGCGGGTGACGGCCATTTTGGCAAGGAAATCACGGATATCCTTCAATGTAGATGGAGAATAGACAAGAATAAAGATTTTAGAGAGTTACCGCTATAGTCGTTATCGTCGCTAACGTCGTCGTCGTCCTCGTCGCCGTCGCCATTGTCGTCGCTGCTATCTTCGGAATTTATTGCATAAAAATAAGAAGAGGCGTCTGATTCTCACCAGCACCAGCACCACATCTTTCATATTCTATTTCCTTCCATTCTGCCGTCACCGCCTACGAGCCACCTTGCACCTTGCTCTTATATTCAAGAGATTTCATTGGCTAGACCCATGAATTCGGAATAGTTGGCACCTGTCGTGTTAATCGCTGCCAGCTGTAACACTCTCTTGGTAGTTGTCCAGGCTCCTGCCCTAATAAGCAGATGACCGATCGGTAGACAGGATTAACAATTCCCCAGATATGTAGTAAAAAAGCACTGCCCCGTCTCTCTTCTCTTTCTCTCTTTCTTCTTCCTTTCACGTAGGACCAGCCACAAAGCTGTAAGTATTGTTTCCAGGTTACCTTCAAAAGTGAGCAATTGCTCCCTCCGTTCTGAGGATCGTACATGAATAGCACACTGACACAGCCATTGAATGCGACAGAACCACTCAAGTTCACTTGTAAGTTCATTTGTCATACAATCATTGTGCGGTGATGCTAACATCATATTTGCAGATCCTCTGTCGTCGTACGTTGACCCTTACCGCTCGAGCCGCTGCCCATTTCGCCGACACTCTAAATTTTGGACTCTCCGCTAACGACTTACCATCTGTGCTCAAAAGCCAGTTGACTCAATCCTTGTAAGCCATACAGGTGTGATCTCAGGGGTTTAGGTAGCACTAATGTTAGAATGCAGTTTGTTGTACGTTGAACATAACACAGCTCGAGCATTTCGCCACCCAAATTCAATCAGTCTCATCCTGTCAGATCCAATTCTTCGATTTGTACTGACTAATTGATACCTCGCGTTTTAGGGTTGAAATTATTTTTTTCAGTGCGTAAGTTTGACACGGGCCTGCGTTTTTGATACATGTATGTTGACCAGTGTCCAGCAGCATCTCTCTAGTACGTAAGTCATTTGTCGACGATTGGCCTATATGTCATATACATGTCGCAAAGATTGCCGAGACTCATATACTTATCAAATTCTTCTGGCCGCAGCAGTCATTACTTCTATCATGTATGCCTGTCCACCTGTCAGTGCTATTGTTTCGCTAACTCTCTTGTCCAGTACCCGGTAGTTATCTTTGTAAGTGCCTTGGACCATAATGGCCGACTTTTCGAACACCGCTTCGCCATACCTGCTCAGAATCCGATCCCCCAATCTTCTAACACAAAATTTTTCATTCTCTCTAGTTTCTCTCCAGGCAAATTTGTGAGACATGCGTCAGGCCATTTACTCAAACCGACTCAGCTAACCCATCACGCCAGAAAAATGTCGGAAGTCCCCGCCCGCGTATGATTCTTCTCATATCCCACATAAGTTTGTATATACTAACACCCGACTGTTTTCAGATGGGAGAATACGAGGTCGTGGCCCCTGGGGCCAATCCCCCGTCGCCTCCCTCCGCTGCCCCCGCTGCCCGAAAAAAGGGCAAGAAATATGCTGCCAAGAGGCAGCAGCAGAGGTCTACATGCCACAATTGTGGCCAATTGGGGCATTATGCCCGGGATTGTCGGCTCCCCCGCCGACCCGCCGCCGCCGCGCCGTGTGAGTATATCCTCTTACCAGCTCATAAACCGATAAGAGTAACAAAATATCTAACTAATTAATAGTTTACGCCGGCGTTGTTAACTATAATTATTTCAGCGGCACAGCTGTTATTCACGTAAGCTATATAACACACCCTAATTTGCGCTCTTGCTGACGTACAATGGTAATTTAGGGGCCCTCGGGCACAATGCCGCCCTTTGGTGGCCCACCAGCCAATGGAAATGGTGGGGTCAAGAAGAACAAGAAGAAGAAGAAGGCCAAGGCCGAGAAGGCCGAAATGGCCAAGAAGGCCGAGGAGGAGGAGGACAAGAAGAAGGTCAAGAGGGAGGAGGGGGAGGAGGCGACGGGGCAATTTTTTTAGCTTTGTGTTGGGCTTTTTTTTTTAAAGAAAATATTACACAGGTTTTTGGGTGAAGGGCATTGACTTCTTAACACGCGCTTCGTGATACCATGTCCAGAAAGCATCCATGGTCTGCCAACCGTCCAGTGACATCCTAAAGGTCTTTCGATCTAGGGGATCCAGCCAAGCGAGACAACATCATCATCAGCGTCACCACTTGTCATCACAAATGTAATGCACCAACGCGACCCACATGTATTGCCAATTTGTGGCCTTGGGATTTCCAGCGTTCTCTATTACTGTATAGCCGTAGGTCACGAATCAGTTCTGTTTAACATTCTAACAGACATATAATCTGTGGCAGAGTATATTTACATATTAAGAAGTATACGCTAATATACCATAATATATTTATTTATTAAAAAGTATATACTAATATATTATAATATATTTATATATAAAGAAGTATATATTAATATATTATATTATATTATAATATTAAGGGTAATAGCTAGGTACCTAATTTAGTTAAATACCTACCTAGGTAGGTAGTCTTTGCCCGCCTTTAACGGTACTATTCTTTACTACATCGGCGACACCGTTCTAAACCTGGATTAAACTCCTGCATAAGCTTGCAGGAGGACACAATAACGCAGATCACACACGAATGAGACACGCGACATGGCTATGAGACCCGACGAGGATTACCTTGCTAGCTGCACTCACACGAGTTTTCTATTTTATTATAATGTAAGCTTATACTAATGCCTCCACGCAAGATGCCCGCGCTTGGAGATGGCATAGCCATTGCCTTTCGGCTCCCCCACAGCCCACAATCCAGCTGGACTTGATACCGACACAGGTCTACCATATCGATTCGTGTAAAATGATTGGTATTGACGAGCAAGTTTAAAAGAAGTCATGTCTTTTCCTCGGATCGTGTTACGTGTGTGTCGCATATCTGCGCCTTGGCTCTCGCCAAACGAAGCAGTTTACTGAGTGTAGTGCCCCAGTTATTGGAAGCTCGTCAGAGTCAAAATACTCCTCTCCTTCCCTGGGTTTCAACCCCGTGTTCTTATCCATTCTAGACGCCAGTAGTTCTTCGGCTAAGAAAAGAGGTAGCTGATAAACCAGAGACCATGCTCCAAGAAGACGAAGGTGACTGGATGTATCACACCCATTATACGAACCTCCCCGCCCCAGACGGTATCAAGATGAAGGTGAGGGACCAACCACATGGAAGACGGCAGCTTCTTACACAAATCCCTACAAGACACGCCATGGACCTGCATATTTTCCAGGTGGTTCTGCTCGCGACGGGCAGGAAAGTTCCAAGATCGCCCCAGCGCCCAGATGAAAGGAACGGTTGTGGCGTTTGAGGGCCTAGTTTGTGTGAGTCCTCACTTCCTCCCGGACCTTTCGGAAAATACACAGACTTGGGTCCATCAACCCCGTGAATAGGAGCCCCTGTAAGAGCGCTTCAAAGACCTCTGTAGACGCGGCAATGCAATCCTCCGCTGTCGTGTTAGTTAGAAGGGGCACTTCTTGCCCCTCGCCCCCGTCAACTTGCAACAGCTTCTGGTCGCAGATCCGGCTATCTTCCCGGCCTCAGTCCTCAACCAATTACAACCTCCGTAGGCTTATTGGTAGCGTTCTGGGAGACGGGCCGGCCGACAAGGGACAAAAGGGCCGTCTATTCCTTTTGGATAGAGATCTCAATCAAGTTGGCACTTTAAATGCGAGGCCTCGGCATCCTCCCCGTTGAAGCTAGTACTCGCGGAATGCTCTTTTGACTGCTCTTTGCAACAATCCCCTTGGGGCCAAAATATCGCGAAATATAGAACTCTTTTTGTTGACGTCTGATACTTACGCCCGTTCTGGACATATTTCAAGTTCATAAAGGCATCCCCAGACATCAGCAATGCATTCACGAACGGTCCTGCAAGCGGCATGTGTAGTAGGATCGTCCTATGTATACTTGGTACGAGCCCAGACGCTGGCGATCAATAATGTCGGTGTTATCGACATGGTGACGGGCCAAGTCCAAGAGTCGCAGAATATTCTAATCAACGGCAACAGGATTGTGAGCATGCAAAGTGAAGAGATCAGTCCGGGGGCCGAGCACAATTTTGATGCCACAGGCAGGTTCGTCATGCCGGGGCTCGCCGATATGCACGTCCACTTATACTTCACCAACGATCCAGCGAACTTCGCGACGACGGATAATTCGGTGCTCCCCGCGTTGCTGGCCAACGGTGTGACGACTGTTCAAGACCTCGGCAGCAACTGCGATGCCGTTAAAGACACAGTGCAAAGAATCGGACACAACGAGCTGCTGGGGCCGCGCATATTCACAACGTGCGAGATGCTCGACGGCGAGGAGTCGCAATTCGAAACGGTGAAGCGGTTGCGGGACCCTGAAGCAGTGGAAAATGAAGTCCAGAAGCTCATGGCGCAAGGTGTCAACAGAATCAAAGTCCACCTGCGCCCGAGTCGGCCCGTGTTTCAAGCCATAGCAGCGGCATGCCAAAAGAATAAACATCATGTTTGGGGGACACGTCCCTGACTCGACCAACGCACGAGAGGCCGTGCAGGGGATGAACTTCATCGAGCACATGAGTCGCATTCCACCCGGCGACGCAAATCTCGCCCAGACGATAGGGAAGAAGCAGCTTTGGGTCACTGGTACACTCATTCAAGGACCACTGATAACATAAAATAACAAAATCCTAAAAAATAATTGCTATTTTTACTTCATAAATTTAAGTATTTATTTAATCATAAAGTAAAAAACTTAACTAGAAATAGTAAATCAAGAAAATAATAAGAAGTTATTAAATTTAGAGGACTTCTATATAAAATCTCTTTTACCTGATTATAATATATTAACAGAAGCAAATTTCAAATTATAGTGATTAAATAAATAATCACGAGCTTTGGTTATCTGCGAATTGGTCGCAAAGTCGCCTCAGCCTGGCCGACAACCTGAGGAAAGCCGGTGCCCGGATGCGCGCCGGCACAAACTTGCCGCAGGGGCGCGGCCTCTGCCCGAATGGCGCCACACATACGGAGCTCAAGTTGATGGTCAAGGCGGGATTTACGCCGCTGCAGGCGCTTCAGTCTGCGACGACCAATGCATACGAGTCCTTGGATATGGGCTCCCAGTTGGGGACGATTGAGCCGGGAAAGATGGCGGATATGGTCTTGCTGAGGGGGGATCCGGTCGAAGACATCAACAACATTGACACGATTGCTGGAGTCGTCGTTAATGGCACACTTCATGGCAAGGAGGCGCTTGACAAGATGCTCAGTGATGCCGACGTCGTCAACAACTTGCCGTTTGCGTGTGGTGGCAAGAACGCCGTAAAGCCCAGGGTTGGATGTTGTTCTGTCTAGGTCCCCGCAAATCCTCCCTTATAATTACGTGTCATGTATTTGACCTCGCGTTGGAGCTTCTTTCTTTTGCTTGAAGGATCTCGTCGGCGTAATTTTTCACGTTTAGCGGTTTCTAGTCATAGCGGCGCGTCCAGGCTTGCGTTTCGGGGCTAACTGGGCACAAAGCGAAATTATTCCCTATCTGGGACGGGATACTGTCGGATAACACGTCGCACGACGTATACAACAATCCTTCAGATGATGGGAGACGACTTTCTTGTAACCGCATATCAGCAGTCATTGGTCAATGGTCACCCAGTCTCGGTGTTTACCAGTACTCATTGGCAACTAAGTGGCTCAGCCACTTAGTCGCAAGCCACAGCTGGGGCGGAAAGCTGGGAAGATTCAGGAATTTGAAATGGGACACAGATGCAAGATTCCTATAGTGTAATGTATAAGTTGATTTCGAATCCAACTAATTGAGCATGGTGTCTGGGATGTAGGCTTGGTACGACCCCTCAATATAGTTCTGAGACACGACTTTCCATCACATTGCGGTAGCACTGTCAGTGATGCTTCAGGGACGACGGGTCATTACTCAAGAGCCTGATGGAGACATGGTTTCTGGTGTGCATCCCGACGCAGCTCCAGGAACGCCGTCAGATGTGTACAAGGCATGGTACTCCAAAGTGTGTCCTTCGCATTCAACACCACTCGGCCACTCCGCCTGTTGTATTTGTTGAAGGATTGTGAGTTCTTCAAGGAGATAGAGACGCTCTCGATATCAAAGAAGCTGTCGTCCATAGATCAAACAATGGAATCATTTTCGGGCTCTTTGGGGTCAACCCAGGCGGTATCAGGGCGTCTGTAGATCAGAAGTTCCCGGACCTAAATCTAGAATGAGGATGTGGTGTCTAGCATTCGCTGTCAGCTGTCAAGCCACGTAGTCGCTGAGGGGCAGCTTCCGAAGCCATATAAAATTCATGTACTCCAGACCGCGGTGTACACCGCCCCAAGTACTCTTTCCTCTACCTGGCCGTGCGTTTACAATGGAACTTCACTCGCTCACTTCACTCACAATACCGTACGTGATCGTGGTTTACGACTTGCCCGAGATTGCATGTTGAAGGCATTGCAGGGCCATGTTAGATGCAGTTGCGAAGATGGGGAAGGGAAGGTGCAAGTCGGGAAGAACGGACCATGGAAAATAGAAGCGGGGCGGGGCGTGGTGGGGTGGTGGGGCCAGCCCCGCCACCCATGTGGGGCATTTCCGGACTTGGATACGCAATCCGTACCCGCATCTCCACCAACAATACCACATCACACAAACGCCGCAAATACACACAGAAGCCGTCATATAATTAAATAACTCACAATCCTTCAACAAATACAACAGGCGGAGTGGCCGAGTGGTTATGGCGATTGACTAGAAATCAATTGGGTTCGCCCGCGCAGGTTCGAGTCCTGTCTCCGTCGTCCTTCCTTTTTGCGTGTTCCTCATGATATAAGACCACGAGTTGAGCATAAATTTGTGGCTTGGGTTCAGCCTTTTTTTTTTTGCAAACCCACATTGGATTGACTTGAGTCCACTTTTAGCATCTGTCTACTCGACCTGGACCAACAAGACCCCAGCTCAGAGTGAACAAGCGAGGTGGTGCGAGATGGCGCAAATTTGAAGCCATCACCAACCAAGACACGGCACGCGGTACGTCGCCTACAACGCAAGACCAGCACACAGCGATGAGAGGTATGAATGCACCGAATGCTCTATTTTGGGACGAGCGAGACGTGACTCTAGAGGGCCTGCGTAAAATGTTCGAACGATGAGTAGAATGAGAAGCTCCGAGTGAATGCTTTGAGACGGCGGGTGGCTTCACGGCGACGGTAGTACAACGATCTGATCTGGATCAAAAATACTCGGTAAATGAAGATGACTTCGTCAATACTGAACAAGAGCAGGGGTATCGCAGCCAATGGGACATGGTCATTACAATCGTTCCGGGCATGCCTTTGGTAACATGTTTCGGAGAGCTAAGGGGAACAAAAAATACTGCGCGTCGGGCTTAAGTGATTGAAAAAACAAAAGGGGAGATCTGCAAACAACATGTGACGATGACGAACGACTGTGTTGAAATGTTTTGCATGAGGCATACAAATTCCGGGGTGTTGTTTGCTTCCTTGGCAAGTGTGGCTTTGCGAGACCCACGTAATTCGCGATGAGGAGTTGGTGACAGCTCGATCCGACTGTCTTCCTGTGTACGGAGTACAGAGTAGACTTAAAGGTCAAATTTCGAGAAGCCGTCATTTGCCACAGAACCCGGGTCTTGGGACCGGCTATTCACAGCGCAACGTCTTTTCCATATTTCCCGAGATTGACATGGCCTAACAATAAAGATTTTACACTGAGCGTTAGATTTTTACAGGCCCCCTCCTCGGCTAGTGCTATAGGGTATGGGAACACTGCTCCGGTTCAAGTTCCAAACACTATCGTGGGCGACCAGTGCTGAGTTTACAATCACATATCGGCTAATAATTTTCCCGCGAGCGACCCATTTTCACCTTCTTATTGGCAACACACATACGGAGTACTGGGGAACAATTCAGCACGCGTAATATTTCACTATCCTTTGGGGTTACGGGCTGGGTGTGGTATTGTCTTTGCATAAGCTTCAGAAAGCAGAATAAGGCGCCGACTTCACAATGAATAATAAGGCGGAGTGGCCGAGTGGTCCAAGGCGGTAGACTAGAAATCTACTGGGTTCGCCCGCGCAGGTTCGAGTCCTGTCTCCGTCGACTTCTTTTTGTTGAGGTGTTATTTTTCGATCGTGTTATATTTTTGGTGGTGTTTTCAGTTGTGTCATTTGATGGGTTGCCAGAACGGGTTGCAAGCCCCGAGTGGGCGACTCACCCCACTATTTACCCAGCCGGGCGGGAACCACCACTTAGAAGTTGGTGCCGAGACCCACTTCACTTTTAAGACACCAGAGAAGAAGGCGATGGGACGAGTTTGGGTTCTTGCTAGTAGTTGACTTTTGCCATCCATGGCGACTAGGGATTGACCAGAAATTTGGGTGCGGCGTCGCAAATTCCGAAGCCATCAGACGACTTGACCCATGTCTGCTTCTGCTGGAGCCGAACCGTAGGGACTGATTGATTGTCTTGCCGGCACTTCCTGCGCCTGCTGCGGACTCGCGCGACGGGCATACTTTGTTCTTGGCTCAGCAGAGTATGTTGGCATTGAACTGCCAAAAAGTGGGAATGTTGCTTTGAACGTTTATTACTACGTAATAAGTTATGGTGCGACTATGCTCGCGTGTCGTTTGGTAGCTGCTTTTAGCCATCACCAACCTACACCGCAACTGTGCTGTAACTGATCATCCCAAGTTTTGCTCCATCTGGGGTCTTTTGCGGTCGGAGTGAAGAATAATCAAGGTCAACTAGTCTGTTTTGACTCCCGCGTTTCGCATCTTCCGCGTTGCCCGATTGGCCGATGAAAATATCGGACGGCGCACATTGCTAGAAAGCTCATCGCAAAATAGTTTATTGCACTCCTGGACACGTTGAATGCGAATGTACAGCATCACGACATTTTGTCGACGCAGTCGCTTCTGATGATGAGCGGGAAAAGACACTGGCCAATGCACATGTCTCGTTAATCATGCTTTATTAACCCGCCAATCTCAATGGATGGAAATAATCGCGGATCTTGCACCGAGACACGCATTTTAACATGGCCACGTTTCTCTAATCTCGACAACCGAATTGAGTGTCATGCACGAACTACGCAAGGGGGAGCGCTCTTACGGCCCGGGATCGACGCCACCAAAGGCAACGGGCCCTGCCAGAACGCAAGCTTTTTCCATCCTGGTAATAAGTAGCCACAATTCACAAACTCGCAAACCCAACCGCATCCGAACAAGACGAACCGGCAAGAGCCTGTCGCATTGGCCGCCATAGCGCCTTGTGGGCAACATGGAGGCTAAATGACTCTGCGGGGGTTGGCGCCTCCCGAGTCTCATGAACCCATCATGGGTTCAAAAAGGGGACGAAAAAGTCGACATCTACATTCTTTTCTACCAGCGGACAAAGGTGATTTTCAACTACTTGCCGTCTTTTTCATTGATAAAAAGCTTTGGGGGAAAGTTGTTGCCCTTGTCGAAGCGGAATGCCTCCCAGCGCCTGACGCCCCGTTTGTTGGCACCAACACCGACTGAGACACTACCGTGTGAAATAACCGCCTTGTCTTGCGTGGCGAAGAACGGATTGTCTCCTTTCTCGTTTCTCTACAGACTTGAATTTGAAGATGGAGTGCGAACTGGATCGAATCGACATGATCAATCCTGGAATACAACACTACTCGTATAATGACATTGCGTTCGCCCCGGCATCCACCGCGCACGGGACCTACTACGACGGAGAGCAGGATGACGTGGAGAATCTGGACGAGTACCAAGAAGGCGGCTATCACCCCGTACACATAAACGACTACTTGGGCACGAAAAGATATCGCGTCATTCACAAACTTGGCCACGGCGCATTCGGCATCGTGTGGCTGTGTCGGGACCACCAGCTTCATCGATACGTCGCTGTCAAGGTCATGACAGCGGATGTGTCGCTGGAAAGAGTGCCCGAGATATCTATCCTGAAGCATCTTGACCAAGCGAATCCCGGGGCGCGGTACATTGCCTTGCCGTTGGACAGCTTCGAAATCCACGGGCCAAACGGCACGCATCAGTGCATCGTCTCGCCGCTGCTGGGCCAGTGTGTCTCGCCAGTCCTGTGGCAGCGACTGGAGTACCCGGGTCTTGTTCTCAGAAATCTGTGCCACCAAGCGGTGCTGGCCTTGAACTGTTTGCATGAGAGCGGCGTCGGCCATGGAGGTGAGGCCTTCGCTGCCTTGACGGAAGACAAAAAAAACTTGGCGTAACTAACAAACATGAGAGTAGATTTCCGGCCATCAAACATCCTGCTGAAAGTTTCTGGGCTAGATAACCTCAGAGAGGACGAGCTTCTCTCGCAGATAGGATATCCAGAGCCAGGCAACGTCGTTGCCGAAGATGGCGCACCCCTGCCGCCCTTCTCTCCGAGATACCTCGTTCCGGCGGCCGACATGTCGCGACTGGACTCCAAGTATCTGAGAGAAGAAATCTGCCTGATCCGCTTCGGGCAGTCGTACCTCGAGTCCTCGCCGCCGCCCGACTTGGGAACGCCGGAGAACTATCTGCCGCCAGAGCGACTGATAGACGACCAAAAGGACAAAGTAGGACTCAGCTGCGACATTTGGGCGCTGGGCTGCACCCTATTCGAGATTCGCCTGCAGACACCGCTGTTTCATATGCTGTATGGGCCAGACGAGGTTCTGAACGAAATGGTGAGCTTTTTTGGAAAGCTCCCGGAGCCCTGGTGGTCGAGGTGGGAGCAGCACGGGGACTACCGCGACGAGGACGGCAACATGCTGCGCAGGAGGGTGGACGTGGACGGCGAGCCGTACAGCATTGACAGCGTGCTGCGGGGGGACAAGTCCATCATGAGGACGGTGGATGGCGTCCTGCAGGTGGTCAAAACGATGGAGGTGCCGAGGGACGAAATGGCCGTGTTGAAGGAGCTTTTGTTGAAGATTTGCGCATATGCGCCTGAAAACCGGCCTTGCACAGGAGACATTTTGCGGGCCGAATGGTTCAAGAGATGCAGCTGGTCGTGAGACTTGCTGAGTGATTGCTTAGTGTGGCCATGGCCATGGCCGATCCCATGCTTGCATGCGAAGGGGTATATATCTCTTGAGCTTTGCAGTCCTTCCAAAGTGGCGCTCTCTGCGCTGTGGGCAGTCTTGTCCGTATTGAGGTCAAAGTTGCCGAGTGGTGGCTGCTATACATGAAACGATTGAGCGTCTTGGCGCAGGACCACGGACCTGTCAACCGTGCCTCATTCACCTGTCGACTCGACATTCGCGTTGGGAGTTTTTGATGCTTCTTTTATCCCGCGGTCCTTGAAGTGGACCAATCGTGGTGATGCCAAAGTACATAGACCAATGAGGAAACTTCCAGTATTGCTCCTTCCTCCAGATGGGTTTTGCAAACCAGTTGACATTTTGGATCCTTCTAGATGTTCAGTGCGGGACGGGCCGGGTTCTATATTTAGTGCGGTACTTGAGTGCCCGACTTGTTTGGATGGTTTGTCCGAGTCTAGACTGGCATAGCGCGAGTCAAATGGATGGCTACAATTTACAAGTGTTACACTGAATCCGTATTATGAAAACAAGTACAACGAGCCTCGCTTCACCATCTCTTAACAACAGCAAACTCCCACCGAGGCCACTCATCCTCCGTACCGCTCAGACAGCCCAGCAAGAAAGCAACGTTGGCAAAGGAAGACACCGCCCTTAGGTCGAACAATAAATCTCGAGCAGAATCCGACGCCCTCATGCCCAACTCGTCATCTCATGCATATCTTTTTTTGCTCTTTCCAGCCTCGCTTCATATGCTCCTTACTGCAGTACCCGACCGCCGACACCCTCCGCATTTTTTGAACTCCTGAGTGCTCCCGCACCAGTGACAGAATAATATTTCCGTAGCGGTGCTAAACCCCGAGCCCGCCACGCTGCCTCCAAGCATAGACATGGTGTCTGGTATTTCTCGTCGAGCGGCGAATTCGCAGGCCCCATCGCCACACAATGGATTCACCAACACCCCAATCAAGGGGTTAGCCTTATTGTGAAGCCAAGCCATGGGCGTTTGTAGAATCTCCTTTGTAGCGCCGCCGCATGTGCCACAAGACGGGCCGGATGCGTCTTTACACGCGGCCTCGTGCTGCTTCAGTATCGGCTTCGATACCGCCATAAACTGCGCCATGTATTCTGGGTTAACGGAAGCTGAGGCGGCATCGGAAACGAGCTGACTTGGAACGTCGTGAACAAATGATGGGTCCTTATTTGTTGGATGTAGGAAAAATTGAACGCGTATACGTTGAGAAGCCGTAATGTATTGTACGAGTATTGACGGGTTGCGAATCGGGACCGGGACGGAAATGCCGCGTGTTTTTGTTTTATACCTTGTAATATTCGTGCTTTTGAAACGGCCTTCTGTCCGTGCTGCCGAGTATGGACCATTTCTTTTCTATTACTTTTTAACAGTCGAGTCAGGACATTGCGGTTTTATGATGCCAAGAAAAGGCAATTGATCCCGAATTAATAAATATCCGGCGAAAGACTGTTCATGTATATTCGCATGGGGCTCTGCTTCCTTTGGCTGTGTTGGCCGCGACTGGCATCCTGGTGGAGAAGGACATATGGATTGCGGCATCATGCGATCTTCGACATTACATTATTGAATATTGTGTTGGAGCTATACTTCGGACTCCGGAGTAGCAGCGCTGGAAGGTGGGGAATGCTACAGGTTAAGAGCCTTAAACAGGTCAATTAAACAGACTGATCCTAAAAAGTCTACACGTAACTAACCGAGTTATTTCTTTATAAAATCATCAAACTATGCTATTCATGCTATTTACACTAATATTCTGTTAATGACTGTGATTGATAAATCTCAAAGAGGTAGTCACCAGCCAGAGACATATTCACCAGGCAGAAGCCCTTTCCAATCTCGCCGTCTCACTTTGCCCTCGTTCGGCCTCCCTCAACGCCTTCAAACTATCCACTTTAGACTTTTCGCAGTTCAGCTCGTCCTCTTTTGCTCAGCATCAGGACTCCAAAAGGCTGGATCATTATGACACCCGTTATTTCGCCCATGCAACCTGCATTGCCACATGGCAAGACAGGGCTGATTTCCCACCCGCGCGAACTGCGATACCATTCGCCTTCTCCTGTATCATCATCTCGGACGTGATAGGCAGAAAATGAATATTTTGAACGGAAATGTATGTATTTGTTCTATTGTAGTCAATTTGCTGTGTCCATTCATGCTATTCCTATTATCGTCGCCTAAAAAGTCCTACCCGAGTCGGTTGTTGGATGCTGCTCCCCATGCCCTGACTGCTTCCTGTTCAGTAGTAGATGCAAACAATATCGTCATCTCGTCATTCATAACATCCGTCTGGATCCCACCGCTTATGGAAGGGCCTGAGGCTGGAAGCTCAAGTCGGGCGAGACGACCTGGCCGTTCTCAACTTGAGCATCGCGGTACGCCGGGTAGGCAATGCGGCGGTTCTTGTTGTCGACAACGGCAAAGGTGGTGAAGCCGTTGCCCGGGCCGAACTGGCCGCTCCAGCCAGAGGTGATGGTGTAGTCGCCAAAGTTCTGGGCGGCGCCGTTGTTCTGGGCGGCGGGGGTGGCTCCGGCGTTCTTGACGACAAAGTTGACGGGAGTCGGGGAGTAGATCTTGGGATTGATGGTGAATTTCCAGTTGCACTGGGTGTTCTCCCAGTTGCACCAGCGGTGGACGCCCTCAATCGTCCACTCGGGGATGCCCTGGACCATCATGGACTTTTCGGTCGGGGCGGGAGCCGCAACCACAGAGGAGGCGGCGAAGAGTGCTGCAACGATGGTCTGGGTGAGTTGCATATTGGCGGTGGTGTGGATGTGTAAGTGGTGCCTCTGGTGAGTGGTGTTGTGTAAGTGGATGTATGGGTTGGAATGGGATGAGACTCGAGTGAATAGATGGATGCAGATGAGTGAATTGCAAGAGAATAACTAGAATTTTGGACAGACAAAGGGCCGCCTTATATAATTTTCTCCTTTTGCGCAGTCTCCCGGACTCCTCGCGTTTTGTTCGTCTCGTCACGGCGGGCACAACAGCAGCTCGGGCTGACATCACGAAGCTACCCTCCGTCCAGCCTCCAGCTCGATACCCCCATGGGGAAAAATAGGTCCAACATGACAAGCATGCACGCCGTAACACGACATGATCTGCAGACTGGTGCGCTCGGCCCACCTCGTAAAACCACATCACCGCTGGAGGTTACTACCCCAACCAACCACTCTTTGCCGCATGTCTCCCTTTTTGGCAGCCTTATGATGCCCTAGGCGAAACTTGTCTCTCTGCGACTGCTAATGCCCGCCGGAGCAGTTCGTTTCTAGTTTCGGAAAATGTAAGTGAGGTTGGTACGAACCGCCCTTTGCTACAAGCCCACGGCCCAAGACATAGGCTTACTCGAGGCAAGCCACTCCCCGGCTTCCTCACTCCTAGCCACTCGTTGGCCAAAGAGATTGGCAGTGGCTAAAGAAAAATGGCATTACTGCAGAAATCACGAAAGAACCACGGCAGAGTCTTGAGCCCTGCGCCGTGTCCAATGCATCGTTCGTACGGCGTCAGTTGTGGTATGATTTGGACAAACTGCCAACCCATTACCTAATGTGTGTCAGACTGGCTACTGGCTCGATTCCATCTGGGCTCTCTGCATCTCGGCAACTCTGCATCTCGGTTCTACGGAGTACAGCGAACACCCGGCTGAAGCTGTCTGGGGCCTAGCTGCCGCAACCTCGTATTTGGCCATGAATAACTCAGGAAGCCTTGCCTGAACGGGCACAGAACTTTTCTCACTGTACCGTCACAGTCGGTGAAAGAGACCAGCGCCACCGATGCAGCCAAACCCGGTTGGGCTTCACGGCAGCCCTTCGAGAGGCAAAACACCTGCTGCCCATGACATAACCGGGCCGGCGTGTAGGTGTATTCTTGCGCAGAAATCTGCAATATTCAGAGGCCGAGAATCTTTGCTTTGCAGCCGTTGCAATTGCCTCGAGACACCTCCGGATGCATTTCCATTTGTCAACAAGGCAGTCACTGTGCAACAACCCCGAGCAAACTTGGCCCGTGGATTCGAATAGGCGGCCGAGGCTGCGGTGACTTTCGTGCTCTCCAACAGCCTTGATATGGAAAAAAGAAACGCTGCCACTACAGATGATCGACCAGGCTCGACAGCGTAGCAATGCCAAGAGGGCATTGCAAGTATGGAACACGACCGGCCCCTGACAATTCTAGTTAGAACAACTCTTTGCCGACGGTCCTCCGTACAGCGTGACTTTGCTGGAGGCAACAATGACGATAGGTCGCAAGCTAGATGTCATTATTTAGCCTCTGGGCGTAGAAATCGGCCCGGAATGCCGTTGCAGCAACTATTTTGGTCAAGGCAACAGACCGGGCATGAAGTTGTTAAACTTGCAAAGCCAGCGAGGCAGTTTTGTCCAACACGCCGCTGTCCTCAGTCCGCTTCATTGACGCCTGATTGCCGCGTCTGGTCGAACTGCATGCGATACGTCATGTCGCTCAGACGCCGTTTAAAGTTGTGCGATGTTGGATGCCAATGGGACTGACAACTCCCATTTTGTGTTTCCAACGCTGGGCCGATCAAAACCACTTAACTACCGGGGAGCCATCCCGGGGCGCCGACGCAAAGGTAGCACCAGACGGAGCCTCGACGTCGCTTCATTTTTGGCAGCATTGGGGTAGTTGGGGAGCTCAACTATATTTCAACGATGCGACTGGGCGTGTCCATGATGTAACAACACAGGCCGGGTCGCACGAGCCTTGTTCGTCTCGTTGCTGACTGCAGTGGTGGTGGTTACTCAACATCGGAATACTTCTTGCCAAGTTGAAAACCACCGCCGCGATTCCCCGCACAAGGCATACATGCAGAAGATACATTTGCGTTCCCCTCAACTCGCAGCCAGTCATCGGCGTGAACATTCGGCCCCTTGTCTCGGCCGAATATTGCACCTTGATCAAGCCCAGCAAGCCCGCCACCACAAGGACCGATTGGTATCTGGATAAACTTCATCGGAATCCGTATCGTTTGTCCACATCTCGCACTACCTTCACCTTTGTCTTTCATAAACCGCAGTGGTGTAAACACTAAGCTCTGGGCCGTCCATCTCTTTCGTTTCCACGTACCTCCCTCTAGCGCTGCAGCCTGCTAGTAACACGCTGCCGCTTTAACACGTACTTGTAAGACAACTTTTGAGACATGTTGAATCGAGCTTAGATGCGTGGAAGGCGTTGATTGTACCCGGTAGTGAGTGAGAATAATTCCAGGACAAAGCTCGCATGCGCATTACGGCTGCGACTTGCAAAAGAAAGTTTTGCTATTCAGGCGGTGAAGCTTTAGTCGTTGATTCCATGTTTCAGTGCTTTTTGCTGCCACATCACGCCAAGTCGGCCTGATATGCAACCCCAGCATAACCAGGGTGCATAATTTGAAAAGAGCTACAGATTGGCATCGAAAATACGTGCGTCTTGGAGCTATCTGCCAAGGGTCCAAGAGAATGGGACAAGGGGTTGGAAGCTGAAATGAACAAAGTACGTGTGCCCAACAGTGGAATGAAAAGCTTGTTGCTTGCTCAAGTTGCTGTCTGCCACTTCCCTCACGAGTTTAATGGTGAATTCATCGCATCGGGCCCCGGAACTGAAAACATCCCCAAAGACAAGATCGATAGCATATTGATTATTTTATTGAAATTCCAGAATCCTACGGTGTTCAGAATTTCATGATAATTTGAACAACAGGCCTACTTTCCTCACTGGCCTGACCGGTTCTTCTTCCCACCTTCTGTACGTGGAAGTCGCTTTGATCGAAGAGATGGGACACTGGACGAAACAAAATTTGTAGTTGATCTGTTGCTGGATCCTACACGCGGGAGAGCAATGATGCCCCGGAAAATCCATCCTGCTAATGTCTCGCATATGTAACTTCTTCCAGGAACAACCCTTACTCTGCTGGATCCACCATCAATATTTTGTGTTGGAATGCTTGTATCGTGATCATCGTGTACACGGTCCAAGCTGTTTTCCGAATGGGGGAATGACCTGCGACATTCCATTAACAGGCAGTAGAGCCGAAACATGTCCGCCCAGGTTTGCTCCAACCATAACTGCCCGAGGCTGTAAAGGGTTGAAAAGCCTTCTAGACAAGTACGGTATTGGAATGGCTGCAATGGTGTAGATGGGCTGTTTCCCAGAATTTTCATCGACCATGTACTCCGTGATTGGTCGTTGTTTCTTTCACTCTCAGGCAAATCGACTTGGATCTTCTGTCGATTACCGTTTGCTGATTAGTCACAAATTATTATGGTCGTTTAGGAAGCAAGCATTATGCTGGCTTGAGTTGAAGAGTTCATGCCACATTGCCACATCTTGTCGTGCGGGCCGGCAGATAGCTGCATTCCATTGTAATTGCGCGGCCTATCTGATCGCATACTTTGCATCTCTAGCCTTGTGCCGCATTTTCTAGACCTTTTTAGACCATTGGACGACTATGGGATGCTGATGAGCGGATAGGATGGTTACCAAATGCAGTAGGAGTGTCATGTAAACGGCAACACCGAAAATACATGGTAAATTATCAGAAAAAGAAATTGAAAGTACATGAAATCCTGCGCTCTAGTTGCTTCTTCCTAATTGGACCCCTTGCTGACACCATTTCTTACGTGTCCCTCCTCAAATTGGTCCCAGTAGCTAACGTTGCGCACCCCGTAGCCTGTACTATCACAAGCGGAGGAACCTTCCGAAGTAAAAGCTGTTGTCTCTGTTTTGTTTCTGTTTCCTTGTACATCCATGACAGTAAGCAACTTATTGGGCTCAATCATGCACAAAGATTGTCCTCCGCTTGTGTGGGAGAGTCTTAAGGATTATGCTAACCGCGCGGCGATCAAATCATGACGGTTATCGTACATGTGGAGGCGTATGAAGCTCCTCATGCGACAATCGCAAGTACGTCAAGGTACATTTCGAGCGTATAGTTGTCTTTGGGCCGGTGGAATATTGGAAGAATATATATTTGGAATACGGAGCAATACACCTACTTCCTCGCTGGATCTTGCGCTTCCCGTAAGCTGCTAGGTGCTCATCAAGACTACGTGAACCTTATACTGGAGGGACGCTTGTGAAAGATGCTATGTATAAGCAAATGATTGATCATGTTGTATATTTCCAATAAGACATAGCGTAGTGGGGTTAAACGAGGAAAATCAAGGCCTCATCTCGATTATAAGTTCAGAAGAGAGATATGGAATGCTTGGCACCTATGCACTCAAAAAGTGCCACACGGGTACACGAGGGCTATGATCACGGGGCCTTGGGCACAAGGCACTCACCGCTTCTTGTATAAATCGAGCTCTTTGGTCATGTAGACCTTGAGGGAAACCAAGGAACTTTGATGCCAAAGACTGTTATTGGATGAGTTAAGCTATTGCTCCAAGCCCTCCCTGATGCCTTGTCACAGAGCCTGAAATTCTAGAATACATACTGATCCGATATGACTAATTCCGAGAATTGCCTACGTATTTAGTGAAAAAAGGTGGTTCTGACTCGATTTCTTACTAGACCCAGCTATTGCATCGTCAATTCTACACCACCAGGGCCCAAGTCTACGGTGCCGTTATTGTATACGGAGCATGAATCATAGACGGAACTATAAGAAATTAAATCGACTACCTATTAGAATGGGACACATATGCAAGAACAATTTCCAGCCTCTTTCGTATAATGCTAGTTATTAAACCGTCTGGACCATACGTAGAAGTTCATTTGAACTAGGTTGTTCATAATTTGCATCAACCGCAGGGTAGTTCCCAGGAACCTGAGCTTTCTTATTGGATAAAACACCAGTATAGGATTATAATTTTATGTTTATAGCACGCTAAGAGATAGGTCGTTTTGTTCCATCTCAAGCTCTTCGCCTGCCCCATTTCCGAATGTTGCCTCAACCTTCAACGTTGCTTGCATACGTTTCATCTCTTCATCGGTACTATGGACAAAACCTCCGCAGGGGAATTCTTAATTTGACCTATCCAGTCCGCGGGGTCTTCTGCTGCCATTTAGGGACTTCGTTCAGAAGTACAACCTGTCTACTTTTGTGTACACAACCTTGCTCTATAGTCAAGGTTTGTTTCCTATTCTTGACCTTTCCAACGTTATACGTTATGAAGTACCTCAGATCTGGGTCTGAGCTGCCGGCTTCACACTCGTTTTTGGGGGAGCATCTCTGGTTCTTGGACATGATTCGCTTGATTTCTCCGTCCAGGTCACTTTCTGAGCCGTTATTACTCTTTGTCGTTTGTTAGCTAAATGTTCAACTATAAAGTCGTACCAATAAAAGAAAATTATAAAAAACATATATTTAGAAATACTCTAGATAGATTACCATTTGCTTCTAGCAAGAATCAAAGTTGGAGTAGCGCCTTGGAGCCCAATCTTTCCGACCCCGGAAAGTTCCACTACACACCCTCTTCGGCAACGCTCTTCCATAGACGCGTATTATTCTCAGCCTTAGGCTTTGCTCCCGCACGTTCAAGGAGCAGCCTGGACGGTGGCGGTGGCTGCAGGCCAGAGTCTTGTATGGTCCAGTTGACATGATGTATCCAGAAATAGAGCTGGGAAACGTCTGAAGAGAGTTGGAGGTAATATGGGCTGTCGAGGCCTCGAATACCCACGCTTCACAGCCCATGACAACTTCGCACTTGCGACGAGCGTAGGTAATGGAGTTTTTGTTGGCTTACTTGTTGCAGCCAGTTCCCCTAGATTAAGTGCTGCTTATTGTCTTGCAGTTAGCGCCACAAAATAGTTTCCTTGGTGGCATGAAAAGGCGTATACAATTTACACGATAGTTAGACGCCCTTCTCGCCAAAGCAGAATCTGGGGTAATGCAACAGTAATTTTGCCTATCACTTAGACAAATCTCCAAAGAAAATAAATGGAGCTTTCACAGCAATTTTATGAGGGTACTCAAGTTTAATTCTCTTCACATCTTCAGCACTTGTATCCCTTTTACCCATGTCTTTCACCAGCCGTCAGGATATTATTAGCCTCCATGTTGGCAGCATCGAGGATACCCGCTATCCCGCAAGCCAGCGGAGATGAAGCGAAAACCGCTGGCTTCTCGACTTGATCCATGCGTCGTAATACCGCGCGTGTGCGGAGATCCGTCGCAATACAAATGTGTCGGTAAGACCTTCACACGATGCTATGCGCCGGCCTTGGGAGCACTTGGCGTCCCTCAAGCACAATTCATTGCCTTCATTGATGCGCTCAACGTGCACAAGAGAGGTAACAAGGCCTTCACTTATATTGCCCAGGCCGGAAGTGCCGTCAAGTTAGTTGGAGACTTTGATCCCACGGGTTTCACCAAACTTGCTGGAGCATTGGTCCAACCAGCTGGTACGGCGGTCTTCTGGGGCTCCGTCTCTGGTCCGACCTCGCGAAAGGTTGGCTATCCCAAGAGAGTGAACGAAACACTCTTCAATCCCGTGGGCTTGACTGCTCGAATAATCAACTTTAAAGAGCTTCCGAATCTGTTGAGCCTACCCCCGATGCCAATCTTCTGGATCCGCTGCACCCTAGATCCGCTATCCCTACCAAGGACGACTTGAAGGTCGGCAAGCGTTCCGCTTACACAGTTGCCGACGTCAAATTCTGGCCCTATCTGGCAGGGTGAGCCCCGTTGAGCAGTGCGGAGTTCATCATGAACATGCAAAGGAAACTAAAGACAGCAAGGAGCGAGTTATCTGGAAGTGGCACGTTGGCTCAGAAATCTCCATGGAAGGAGCTCGTGGCAAGGCACTGGACAAACTCCATCATGTGCCTACTGCGACGACGCAGAAAAAAAAGAGAATCTTTCATGAGATCAGTGCACACGACTGATAGCTCATGTGGTTGGTGGTGCAGAACACAAGTGAAGTGCAGAAATTTTCTAGGCCTGCTAATCAGTTCTGACCACTTGGATGCTGACTTCTGAGCAATGGACATGAGCTGTGGTTAAAGCACATCACGGTTCACTACACCTAGTTTTCAGATATTATCACAAGTCGTGAAAGTTCCATGCTCAAAGACGATCACTTCACTAGTTGTCTCACTAACTTCGCAACTGAGACTTTCAACTTTCCAACCACGTAATCGCCCGTAGAAGTTATTAGTAAACGACCAAATGAATGCCAGAGAATAAGTTAATTATACATACCCCGCGTCAACTGTGAAATATAAAAGTCTTGACTTGTCGCGCATGAGACGTTACAAGACGCTATCCAAGAAAGCCCGGCATTTCAGTACTTTAATTCAGTGAGACCTCGCAAGCTTCGCTCAAGATTCTTCCTCAACTTCGTGGTATTTATGACACACTCGGCATCAGGCCCTCCGTCGTCATTCACGTTTCGAACCAGGCGTGAAATTATGTTTCTAGTTCCGGCTTTAAGGGAGCATTTTCTGCCCAACCGGCCTTTTATATCCGGAAACAGACGTATTTGATAAGAAATGTAACACTGGGGCGACTTTATCCTATAAATTATTCAAAGCTTCAATGGTGGCCAGCTGGGGTTGTAACGGCTACCGGGGGGGTCACCCTCGGAACGAAATGCTTAGATGAAAATGGTAGTAAATGGGCAAGCAACTTGGCGGATTTCGCAAAAATTAGACAACACAGAATACTATTAGATAAGTGCCTCTATTATCTAAAGTCGTGGGACTTGGAGTAGGTACTAGTCATGAGAGTTGTTATCATGCTTGCGTGTGCACTGAACATTGCTTCGCATATGACCCGCGTTTCGAGACGTGATGCCCTAGGGGCAAGAAGTATAACCAGCACAAGCAAAATTGCAAGCAAAAGCGTTAATTCAAACCGAGTTAGCAGCAAGTTATCCTATCTACCTTGTACACAAGCTTTATTTGACTTGGCTTGGACAACAAGGGGGCTATTTCGGCTGTCTTGGTATGGCTTGTATGTTGCGTGCTGGGTGCACATTGCCACCAGTTGGTGGTATAGAGATGATGTTCTGGCTACCATCTAGTTCAATAAGAACCAACGACTGAATGATTCCCTACGCAGTCATAACTCATTACAGTTCGTGAAGGCTTGGTCATCTTTCCAAGCCGGTTTCTTTTCTTCATCAGCTGCTTCATTTAATTGTTTCCCCTGTTTCGAATCTGCCAATGCTCGCAAGGGCTCAAGTAGTAATAAAGCAGCGCTAGCAGATTAAACGCAAGGGGTCGGGGGCGGCGTTTCTCACTTCAATCGTCATGCTTGGCTGGCACAGTCCTTTCTTTGGCCCCAAGTCTTAGCGTTCGTTGCCCAGGGCTTTCCTGCTAGCAGACACATTCATTGACTAACTTCCGTGACTAGGGCTTTCCCCTTCTCAGCCTAATAGATGCCCCCCTGCTTTGTCCGTCGTGTCGTGCACATTCGGCGTAGTGTCGTAGATTAGCACTTTATAAATGATGCAAGAGCAACGAGTCATGTATGATTCTCGTCTTGCACATGTCAAGGCAAAAGATACTGGACATTTCCACAAGGGGTAAACCTCCAGAGAGCTCGGAGCTATGCTGGCTGGGAGCGCTGACACGACCCTCAAGTAACGCCTTCGCCGTGTAAATATCGGGCGACTCTATTGAAGATGTGCACATGGCCAAGGGGTCAAACTCAAGTATACAACACCTTTATATTTTGGTCAACATTGAGAGGGAATCCCATCCAGAGCTACCTATTTCGCTTTGGAACAGTCCTTCGTCAGGGGCTTCACGCGCTCCATTATGCTCTCCGTATACTCCGTCGCAGGCGCATCATAATCCGTGATGTACACCGACACAGAAACTCGCCCACTCTCCACAACATACGTCTCGCCAGGAAGCCGACAATCACCATTCACACACGCATTCAGACCCGCCGAGTATGGCTTAATGTTGGCCCAACGAAAGGTCCCCTTGGCTGGATCCCAAACGGCCTCATTTATGTGCGCGTTTCCAGTCATGCGTGTCTGAACAATCTCGGGATCCGTATTATTAGCCGTGAGAACGGGAATGTTGACGGTCAAGCCATATCCAAGAGGAAGCAGGGGGCTTCCGTCGGGAGCGCTATTGATGATTTGTTCAATGATCTTTACAGAGACCTTGGCCGTCCAGGTGGCCTCGTTGGTTTCGTTTTTGATGTCAAAATAGGCAATCTTCTTATTACTCCCAGCAATGGCGATGCTGGGCACTGATCGCTCCGTCGCGGCGTAGCTGAAATGGAGGTGAGCAATGGGGCAGACGTGCTGTTGAAGAAACGACTTACGACGCGCCGGCGGTTCCCGACAGAGTCCAAACAAATGGACCGAGATTGGCTCCGAAATTCGGTCCCGTCACGATGAGGTCGGGGACGTTGAAAGGAGCATATCGGGGTAAAACGTAGTCTAGCGCAACAAACGTACACGCAGCGGGCGTTCCGTTGTAGTACCAGATTTGGGAATCGTGAGGGTCGGTGCCAACCTGAGACGTTAGTGATGGCAAAAGCTGACTCCCAAGGGCATCATGACGTACTGAAGGAGCGCCCTCGGGAATGATGCCGTATTGTGAAGGCCCAGTCAGGTTACCGAGTTCTGTGAAGGATGAACGACCGCCTTGGCTGCTCTGTTCTGTGGCCGGCGCAACAATCCAGACTGCTTCTCATGAGCTACACATGCTGATTGCGGGTGGCTCTCCCGTACTGACCGTCGTGACCGGCCTTTTTCAACAAGCGGTATACCTCGCGCAGATTTCCCGACCCAAACCCGTCGTCATTGTTGAGTAGAATGTTGATTGCCTGCGACGAGGATGCGAAGCCCAGCGTCACGCCCGCCAGCAAAGTTGAGACGCGCATGACTAGACCTGGAGCCGGACAGGAAGCTGATTAAGAGCAAGCAATTCGGCTGGTTTGAGTCGTCTAGCAAGTTAGATGGTTCTCTCAACGATAGACATGGGACAGCAGCTGGTGGCCTTGATATCGACGAACAGTCGGGAGCGTCCATCACAAGCCAAACAGTTGCACTGCTAAGCCGAGAATGCAAGAACCTCTTTCTGGTCATTGGCAAGCCATCTCTTCCCAAAAGCACATTGGCTTTCGAGCCCGAGCCATGCAGCATCAGCCCGTCCCAGGCTCTTCGCATGCTCTGCCCTCCCGACACGGCATGGCGGCACCAGCCGGGTCTTGGCAACAGGACATGGGCATGAAGCTCCCATTGGATCAAGCACAATCTAAACAGATGACCAGCCGCATGCGAGATAGATTGGCGCCGGAGCTCACCGCGGTGTGGTGGATACAGGACCAAAAACGACAAGCAGTCGCGTGCCGGCCTGGAAAGTGTGGATAACTCGGGAGGAAGAGCGATGGACGGGCATGACATTACATGCGTAGAGCCGAGTTACGGCTTCAAAGACCACGGGAACCAACCCGGCGAAACTCGCACCCTAGAGTTCATACATGATTGACAAACGACAGCGTATTAAAGCCAGTGTCTTGTGAGCTTCCAAGATTCCATAGCTCCTCACTCTCTGGCAACGAGGACAGGGAATGAACGGATGGGGTCTCAAGACCAAGAGGCCAACAGCATGACGTGTGCGATGTCGGCCATTAACCTTTATCCACGGCCCCACGTTAAGAATATTGCACCACCCATCAAGAATTGTTTAAATAGTTAGCATCAACTTTGTTTCTACTTCCATGTCGAGACATGTATGCCTCCACCGCACAACCCTCACCATGAGTCAACGCGAGCCCGAATCAAGAGAGCTAAGCTTCGTCAGCCGCTCGAGTGGCCCGGCCCGCGACCAAGACGACGTGCTTCAAAACGGCCGCTCGTTGCCGCCTACCGACCGCGGGCGAGGCGCCTACGTGAGCCTCGCGTGCTGCACCGTGGCCCAGGTTCCCATATGGGGTCAGCTTCGACCAAGCTCCGGTGGTTGGACATGGCGATTAACATGAGTTCGGCAGGCTATTCCGTGTCGTACGGCATCTTCCAGGAGTACTACAGCGGGCCCAAGAGCGGCATTGCCGGCTCGCCCGGCTCGTTTGCAACCATCGGCACGTCGCAAATGGGCGTCATGTACCTGATGATGCCCGTGGCCTTTCTCATTCTTCACCGGTACCCGCATCTGCGTCCGTGGTGCGGTCCGCTCGGGCTGCTCGTCACCGTCGTGTCGCTGGTCTCGTCGGCGTTTGTCGACTCGGTGGGCGGACTGATTGCCACCCAGGGCGTGCTCTATGCCGTCGGGTGCGGGCTGCTCTTCAGTCCCATCTCCATGTACATGGACGAGTGGTTTGTGCAGCGCAAGGGCATGGCATACGGCGTCATGTGGAGCGGCAAGGCGGCGGTTGGTGTCGCCATGCCCTTTGTCTTCAGCGAGCTGCTGGACCGCTTCGGCCTCGAGGCGACGCTGCTCTCGTGGACGGTGGCGTCGGCGATGCTGACGTGCCCTCTGCTCTTCTTCCTCAAGCCCCGTGTGCCGCTGCCGCGTTCGACCCAGCCCCGGCCCCTGTCCTTCGAGTTCCTGCGCCGTGCGCCCTTCTGGATGATGCAGCTCGGCATCGTCATCCAGGCTCTCGGCTACATCATGCCGAGCACCTACATGGCCACCTACGCCTCCAACATTGGGCTGTCGTCTGTCAGCGGACCGATTCTCGTCGCCTTGTTCTCCTTTGCGTCGATCCCCGGAGCCGTGGTCCACGGTGTTCTCGGCGACAGGATATCGGCCACGACGGTCATTCTCATCTCTTCCTTTGGGAGTGCCGTGCCCGTCTTTCTGCTCTGGGGGCTCAGCCGTCATTTCGCCAACGTGGTCGTCTTTGTTTTGGTCTATGGCTTCTTTGCGGGGGGCTTCAGCAGCACGTGGTCCTCCATGATGAGGGAGATTAAGCGAAACGACTCGTCGTCGGACACTGCCGTCATTTTCGGCATGCTTCTTGGCGGCAGAGGTGTCGGTTTCGTGCTCGGGGGCCCCGTCAGTGGTGCCTTGACGTCAGCACGGGGTGCCTTGTCCGAGGAGTCCTTGGGCTATGCCACCATATACGGGCCTATGATCCTGTGCACGGGAATCACGGCGATTTTGGGTGCTTGGGGTTCGTACTGGAAATTGCTGAACAAGGCCTCTTCCCAGGGCTTCTCGGAATGTTTGCCTATTATTCGACATCCCTGAGACCAAACTTTGGGCAGCGCAAGAGGCAAAGAGTTTTAGTTTCCGTCGGCGTATATACATGGAAGAAGACACTGGCTAGAACTCTAGCTTGCGTCCACACTAGCCGGACAAGAACGGTTGTGTGCCGGCCATGGCCTTGACCAGAGTAGGAAAAACACACCATGAATAGAGCATTACTTAGGGTCGAGTTGGCAGATGAGGCTCCGTCTCGTCGATATACGTCTGGAGCGCAGGTAAAGGGGATTTGCAACTGTCCGGCATAGTCCCTGTGCCAACAGATTTCGCACGATATGGGTGTCCATGTACTTGCTAAACATGTCTTCTTAATACAAGCGGAGAGAGGGCCCTGGCCGGTGTGATGGAGGTTATCAATGCCAATATGGATTATAGTGACAGCAGTTTTCTTGGCAACGCAGAAAGACAACAGAAAGCAGATATGGTTGTTGAGGCTGGTTGACAAGTCATCCGGCGATAGTGAAGCCGAATACTAATACCGAAAACTCAAGCGCCTACAAATTGGGTAAGCAGTGCGCACGATACTTGTCCCTCGTTATGGGGCTTCCAGAACGGCGCAATAATGCTCGTCTCCAAGATTGCAGGAACACTCACATGCACCACGAGCAAGGGGGTAAACTGCTTTAGCCTCATGCCCGACCTGGCATGGTCCTCGTTCTTGACCCGAGTGATTGGCGCCGGACACAGCCGGCAATACCTTCACAGCGATGGAATGTGTCTGAACGACTGTAGATACATTCGCTACATGACAAATAATTACTTACCGCGCAACCGCCAAGGAGTAAATCCAGTCAGAGTTCAACTCGGACAAGAAATGCTGCAGATTAAAGTACGTCAGGAACGAGTCGGGTCCGAAATGCCGCCTTGTTCTCCCGCGACGCCGTGGCTTGCCTCAGCGCCAACATCTCGCCGGCTGATGTTGGGCTGGCAAACTGGTTCCATGTAAGATGGCCAAGGGCTAGTTCTCCACCGGATAACTGCATCCATTGTGGCGTTGGCAAGAATGAAACCTCGAATGTCCAGCTGCCTTGGACATGGTGCCATCTACCTCCCGCAAGCCACCCAGTTGTTCAAGTTTGGCGGACCTAGCCGGCAAAGGGTCTTAGCCACTGGTCAAAAGATAGCAAAGGGAAGCAAGCAAGCCTGCTATTCCGGACACAGAGTCAAAGCCTGATGTTGCTGCACAACGCTACGTCCGTCGACCAGGGCGGCATCTTGGCACGGAAGCTGCGGCCAAAATCATAGACTTGTTCCTGTCCCTATTTCGTTTCCATTGGATGTTTCCTTGTTTTCTGTTGCGGACTTTGTAGACGAATTGCCATATTTTATCGCCCCTAATTTGAACCCAGCATTCGTCTTGCTTGGACGTTGCTTAGATCGAACGCAGATGTAACCCTCGACCCGCTCTGAACCGTTGACCTCAATCCGGAAACTACCAAAGATTACGTCAGTCCATAAGATGGAGAGACAACTATCCGTCTGGTGTCTCCTTTGTCTGAGGGGGCTTGGGCGACAACATCCTACCGTTGGTTGGCAATACAATTGTCCGCGAGAGGCATACCCGACCTAATGGGACCCATCTCGATGTTGATATAAATCTGAAGATGGCATGAGATGCCAGTGGCGGCGACATGTTTGTCGTTTTAGGGAATTCGCATTTAACTATTCTTGTTTTCATATATCAGCTATCAGAGATGATCAGAGTCCACGGGTTGCCACAACGGATCGCAGATCCCTCCCATCATGACCAAGAAGCTAAACAAAAATAGCGCCATCCACGTTAGATTATTTCTATTTTCGCGGGGGATGTGCCTGCCGGGGATGTCGTCATCAAGCCAATCGAGCATCCCGGCAGGCGAGGCAGACGCACACGGGGGTAAATCAAGCCACTTCAGACGTCAGAGACACTTTGGACGCAGGACATAACTTACCCATTCTGTATTGCGCGGCATGTCAAATCTAATCCGCTGCCAAAATCCACTTGAAAGGCCGCTCAATCAGGCGGTAAAAATGGCTTGTCTGACGCCACAGCAAGCAAGTGGTCTACTACACCAGTTCCAAGTGTTCAAAGTATATAAGTTGCGAATGCCCTCGATTCAATGGCCCAAGTTGGCAGGCAGGTCAAGTCCAAAGCCCTCTACACCACTATGAAGTCAGTGCCTTTCTTCGCAGTCGTCGCCTCAATGGCCAGCCTTGTCACGGCCACGGTTGCCGGCTTCGACATTTCCCACTACCAGCCCAACGTGGACTTTAAGAAGGCGTACGCCGACGGGGCCCGGTTCGTCATTATCAAGGTACGCTCACAGCCCTCATGGGGATTCCCAACACGTCTGACACGGCCTATAGGCCACCGAGGGCACGACGTACGTCGACCCGTCCTTCAGCTCGCACTACACGGGGGCCACGCAGGCCGGCCTCATCCGCGGCGGCTACCACTTCGCGCGCCCGGGATCCGGGTCGGGCGCCGCGCAGGCAACCTACTTCCTCGCCCACGGCGGCGGCTGGTCCAAGGACGGCATCACGCTGCCCGGCATGGTCGACCTCGAGTACAACCCCAGCGGGAGCACCTGCTACGGGCTCTCGGCCAGCGCCATGGTCAGCTGGATCTCCGACTTTGTCGAGACGTACCGCTCCAAGACGGGCGTCTACCCGCTCATCTACACGTCGACGAGCTGGTGGAACCAGTGCACCGGCAGCAGCACCGCCTTTGGCAGCAAGTGCCCTCTTGTCGTTGCTCGCTATGCCACCTCTGTCGGTGCCTTGCCTGCCGGCTGGAGCTACCATACTATTTGGCAGAATAGCGACAAGGCGCCTTGGGGCGGCGACAATGACATCTTCAACGGCAACCTCGACCAGCTGAAGCGCATTGCGAATGCTTCCTAAATATTGCGGGTCAGTTGCGCCGTCCAAGTGAGGAGAATACGTCGTAGTAGCGAATCGCCTTGAGGAACGATGCAAATCGTCTCTTATGTTTGTGCGAGGATTCAGCAATGAGGGGTTGCGTGCCAAGAGTTGTACTTCTGTTACACTCTGAATTTACCCGACGGTGTGACGGCTGGTACGGTTCGATTTGCAAGATGGTTCATTTACTGTGAAACTATTTATTTTTCTCATTCCAGTCTTGTGGTAACTAGAAGCGATGCAAACGTGTTGGACCCCCTACTACTATCACCTCGTGTCCGAATTGCTCATCGGCAACTCGCTCCATATCGCCAGGCATTTTATACCTCAACGCACAACTGTAATTATATTTACACTAAAGGCAATTCTCGTTCCCATTCTAAACGTATTCTCCAAGTCATCATCAAATATTGAACCAGCTACCACCACTTACACCAAACTCGGCAACTCGCTCCACCGCCCGGCAATCTTATAACCGACGCTCGCCAACCGTCAGCCATCGTTACAACTTCTCAACAACACAACTCATCAGCTCAATTCAACACCGAACAAACCCCAAAATCAACTACACCAACATATCACCCCCCTCCCCCCTTTTCAAACCCGCCAAAATGCGCCCCTCCGCCCTCCGGCGCATCACACCCTCCACACGAGCATACACAACACCATCACCAACGTCGGCATCCGCCGCCGCAGCTCACCTCCTCGAAACCTTCCACAACAAAACCCTTATCCAGCACCAGGTCCTCGACGCAAACCAGCTCCAAAAGCTCTCCCTAACACTCAACCGCCCGACAATCCACGCCCAAAACATCCTCACCTCCCCGCCAGCGCCGGGCACGCCCATCCCGCCCGGCCACCACCTAGTCTACTTCACGCCGGGCGGTCTGGAAAGCGCCCTCGGCCCCGACGGCACAGACAGGACGTTCAACGCCCCGTCCCCCTTCACGCGGCGCATGTGGGCGGGCGGGTGCATGTCGTGGACCGCCTCACCGCTCAGAGTAGGCGACCTCGTCTCCGAGCACACGCGGCTCCTCGGCGCCGCCGCCAAGAGGAGCAAGTCCGGCGGCGAAATGGTCCTCGTCGAGGTGGAAAAGGAGCTCCGGGGCCCGCGTGGCGCCGGCGTCGTCGACAGACGCTCGTGGATCTTCAGAACCGAGATGAGTTCACCAACATTACCACACTCTCCCGCGCAGGTATCCCGCCCTACCACGATAACCGACATCCCAGGCCATAGAGGTGAGCACAAAAAAAAAAAAAAATTGACGGC